CTCCAAGTGACATATGGCAAAACTGCACTAATGAATAAAAGTACCTTCTGTATGGCCACCAAAATATTCAACAAATTACCTGAAAAAATTAAAACGCTAACTCTGGCCAATTTTAAAAGAGAAGTTTTAAAAATCTTGATAAGTAAGTGCTATTACTCACTAAAGGACTATTTGGACGACAATTCTATAATTACTGCTTCAGAAAATTGTACAATACCTCGACTATCCTAATGATTTTGAATTGACATTAAATTAATTTGTTTGACATTTATTAAAATTGACTGTATTTTGTATTTATTTTGACATGCATGTGATTATTAATTATTATCATTGACGTTATTAATAATGTGGAAGTTTAAATAATCCTACAAATTTATGATATTTGAAAAAGTGTATATTTGAAAATGTGTAAAAAGTGTATATTTGTACGCCCCTGGGCAAAACATAGAGGACTTGCCTATCCATAACATCTCACACTCTATTGTAATTTGACCTATGTTTACAAATAAATGATTCTGATTCTGATTCTGATTCTGGGGAGAACGCCACGTAGGCGGACACAGCAGAGGAGTCTATGTTGTCGTCTTCCAACGCCACACATATATTGGTCGGGAACATAAAAATTATTGTTTCCCTTATTATTCTAATTTACTACACACATAGGTACATAGGTATTGTATATTTGTATTATGACTTGAGTGTTCTTAAATTGTGATGATATTCTAATAATGAAACCAAGGCATTTTTTAGTCTTTGCATGTTTTAAGTATCTGGTCATGAAAATTTAATTTGCTATCCATTATTACTCCCAAATCCTTGATTAAGAGGACACGTTCCATTGGTGCGCCAGCGAGATGATATGTATTTGTAATCGGATTATGGGATCGAGAAAAAGTGATAGTTTTACATTTGGCTTTATTAAATGATAATTTATTTCATTGACTCCACTCTACTACAGCGTCAATATCATATTATAGCGCCATACAATCCTTAGCTTTATTTACAGAAACGTAAAGTTTTAGATTATCGGCAAACATCGGCAAAATCATTGATCATTATCAGAAACTGCAAAGGACCTAAGCAGAAATTGCAAAGGACCTAAGGTACTACCCTGACTGACCCCTGGTCGAGTATAATACTCTTCCGATTTATATCCTTCTACCTTAACAAACTGCCTACGATCTTTTAAGTAATGGAAATAAATTTTAAGAGAGAAGTTGAAAATCCCAATACAGAAAATTTGTTTAAAAGTACATCATTATCGACGAGATCAAAGGCTTTTTTTAAATCCAAGTACGCGGCGTTTACTTGACAGCTAGACTTAACTGTAGTACTTATATAATCTACAAATTCTAAATGTTTAATTAACGTACAGCGTCCAGGACGAAACCCATGCTGGCAATCATTTAATTGCCCCTTTATTGGTTTATAAATGGCGTTATTAAGGATAGATTCAAATATCATTCTAAATACACACAATACAGCAATAGGTCTATAGTTTGTTATATCTGCGGATGTTCCGCATTTAGGTATTACCGACACCTAACTTTCCACTTATGCTTTCCACCTCGCCTGGTCGGAGGATCCTCCCCTTGTGGAAACGGGCGGTTGTAGATCGGCACAGGCATATCATATATTTTGTATAAGTTTCATGTTTTTTTAATTTATTTTGCTTACTCTTTAGTAGAACAGAGATTGTTGCAATTGTGTGTGTTGATCTATCTATGACTTTAGAGTCTACATAAAAGACGATTTCAAACAATTTTTTTTTATGAAAAAAGAGGGACATGACACCCGTTCCTCCACAAGCTATTACTGAAGCATCAAAATAAGACAATAATGACACAGAAAACATAAGGATTACAAAGAACAAATATACACCCATGTATGTAAGTCGGGTGCGCCATTAACCACGTTACTTCCGAGTTTGTTAATGATTCATTAACACTGTATGGGATCGTTTGAGCTCTGACACTGCTGACGCAATCAAATCGTATGCGTTACAGCTGCATTCATTACGTTGTATAAGTCTGCCTTTATGTCTTACCAGCAATATAAGGAGGTTCTAGGACCAATTATGACCGTTTGTGTCATAGAACGAATTTGCGAATAGGACCAAATGAATCGAACCCGTTTGTCTATGTCCTCCGTGGAATAGACGTAAGAAGGAAAAGTACTAGTAGAAAAGTTAAATCAACACACACATGATAATGGAGTACTGGCAATAATATTAGTATTTTAAGGTCCACTGCGTTACCAACGTTCGTTAAATAAATCCTTGAGTGGCGATTACTTTGAATTAACATAAATGTGAAAGAAATGAACCGAATCAAGGTCGTAACAAGAATATCACTAATTATAACAACTTAGTACTAAACTACCACTAACTATCTTTATCTATACAAATAATTAAATTAGTGTTTGTTTGTATGTCAAAATAAAAGGTTTTCTTTTTCATGCACACTGTTATTTGCACGATACCTATGTTATGCCTTTACATAAAAAACCAGTTTAAATATTTAGGTCCTACCTTTCGGTACCTAGTCCCATATATTATAACGTATATTTTTCAATAGACAATGTTATGAGAGACATTATACGTAAGTCTTTGATCGCGTTTTCGTTCACATTAATCTAGAATTTCTTAATCAATTTTAATAATTTATTTTATTGCAGCAATATACTGCAATATACAAATCATTAGTAAAGTATGACAAAAATGTGCACAAGTTATGCAAATACAATATTTTTCCACAAGTAAGGACTACTTCATTCTAGTCTTGATATTCTTTGTATTATAAGATGCTTCCGTATTTCAAACTCGGAATACCATACATATTTGTAAGGAGGCGCAGTTATAAGCTTAGGGTATACTTGCACGGGCACGCCGTCATCGCGGCGGTAAGACCCGTTATGGAGGACTAGCTGACCCGCGCAACTTCGTCTGCGTCTCTCAATAGTAATAAATTTTCTCCGTTTTTGAAACATTCATCATTGGTGCTCCGCTCCTATTGGTCTTAGCGTGATGATATATAGCCTATAGCCTTCCTCGATAAATGGGCTATCTAACACTGAAAGAATTTTTCAAATCGGACCAGTAGTTCCAGAGATTAGCGCGTTCAAACAAACAAACAAACTCTTCAGCTTTATAATATTAGTATGGATTGGCTCGAGAGGCGTCACGGGACCCTCACATACCGACTGACGCAGGTGATCACTGGGAAAGGATGTTTCGGGGATCACCTGTGTCTGATCCGCAAGGAGCCAACGCCTTAGTGCCACCACTGCGATGGCCAGACCGTGGACACGGCTCTCCACACGCTAGCAGAGTGCCCGGCGTGGGTTGAGCAGAGGCGAGACCTCGTGGCGGCCATCGGAGTGGGAGTTCTCTCGCTCGATAGCCTGATTGCGGCTATCGTGCGAAGCGAGAGTGCGTGGAACTCTGCCGTCTCCTTCTGCGAGCAAGTTATGCTCGCGAAGGAGACGGCGGAGCGGGACCGGGAGAGGTTTAGAACTCTTCCGGCCCGCCAGGCCCGGGAACTGGCCAGGTACCGCAGGCGACTCAGGCGCCGGAGGTCGCAGAACGACCTCCGTCCTCCATAAGCGGAGGCCTGGGGGTGACAGGTGAGGCCATCCGTCACCCTAGCAGAAGCAGGCCGGGGTAGCGGCGAGCGCGTTGCGAAGCGCGCTCGCTTCCAGGGAGCAGAGGGAACATGGGGTTCCCACACGGCGGGGTCGTCTACTCGTCTGTAGATGGCCCGAGGTATGTCGGGGCACCAGGGACTTCCTTTCTAGGGTATACCCGGTTCCCTAGCTATTAGTAACCGAGACGGCGTGCGGTTTTAGTCGGTTCGAGTCCGACATGCCACCGGACAGGCGGTATCCGAGGGGATTTCCGCACGGAAAAAAAAAAGGGGGTATACTTGTAGTTTGATTCTAAAAGTAACTTTTTACAAGTTACCATTGCGTCCTTTAGTCAAACAAATTATCTAAATATACCTTATATACGGGGCACACGGGGCCCGTGCCCACGGCCCCCATCGTCATGGGGCCCCGAAAAACAAATACATAGAGCGATATATTCGCTTATACTGTACATTCACATTCAGTACATGATGGATTCGCTTTACTCATTTTTAAGCCTGGTTTTTTTTAAGTGAAAGTGAAAGACTTTAACAGTCTAAGATATAACAGAAGATTTTGCACAACAGATATCTCGAAAGAAATCATTGTCGTAATCGTAACCGATTAAAACCATCCATTCAAGCTTGCTTATCTAATTAATACCTGTTTTTATATCTTTTAGGTATGTATCTAAATGTACCTATCTATTTATTTCGTTATATTGTGTAACAGAGCCCCAAATTCTTGCGAGCCCGGGGGCCCCGGCATGGCCGAATTTTATTATGACTGAGTGAGGATTTCATTATGCAGACTTTTTGTTTTGTAACGATATAAAACAAAGAGTCTGCTTAATAAAACCCTCCACCTCACACATCATCATCACATCAACAGCCTTTAAGAGTCCACTGCTGGATATAGGCCTCTCCTTAGAAAGAATGTTTTGGCCTTCTATACCACGCTAGTCTCTAAATTACAATGCTTAATCGCCGCCCTTGGATACTTGCAACTCAAGAATCACAACTACGTTATTGTCCTATGAACCCCCCGCCCCCCTTAGGGGAAGGGGGTTCGTTCAAAGGGCGAAGGAAAAGAATTCCTTAGCACTGGTTTTCTGTTAGACTTTTTTCTGTTTTCTGTTAGTTTAGTTACATTAAGACCATAATTAGAAACATCCGACTTGTACCGACTTGTGCTCAAAAATACCGTATTATTAAAACTTATCTTAGCTATTACCCAAAATTCAGTCAGCTTTTAAAATTATAAGTACACCTAATCCCATACTAAGAAAACGGGTGGCACCTAAGCTTACTAAATCTCACGAAGACTCAATGATAACAACTCACGTAATTAATGGACGCTCCGTAACATAAACTTACCGTTCCACAGCAGTCTTCATCCCCATGAAACAAGTTAACCGCCATCCTAACGATTTCCGCCTCCATTTTATTAATGCCGGGGAACACGTCTGAGTGCAGAGGGTTCGTGTACGCAGTCATTGCGTAGGCATCGCACGCCACTTTACTGATCTCTTGGCTAACGTGATAAACTGCCCCGGAGACGCAACCATTTTTCCAGTCGTACGCACCTAAAAGTAAAATTTAAATATACCTATACTGACGCCGATAGAAATAGGGTATTGGGAACATGGGGTTCCCACACGGGGGGGGTCGTCTACTCGTCTGTAGATGACCGGAGGTATGTCGGGGCACCAGGGACTTCCTTTCTAGGGTATACCTGGTTCCCCGGCTATTAGTATCCGAGACGGCGTGCGGTTTTAGTCGGTTCGAGTCCGACATGCCACCGACAGGTGGTATCCGAGGGTATTTCCGCACGGAAGAAAAAAAAAAAGAAAAAAAAAAGGGTATTTAACACATATGTTAAAGGGCTCGGAGTTTAGCTATAGATTCTCGTTTTCTCCGAACGCCCGGCGCCCACACCTGTCTCTGTCCCCGTTGTTGTCCTGCCTCTGCGCCCCTGCACCCCGCTGGCTAGGACTCTCTTAAGCGGTTTATCTGTAGTTGGAATTACAGGTTTTTGACCCTGACGTGTTCGACGTCATATTATTCACATAACTTTCTTCATTTTCGTTATTATTAATAGGAACCACATAAAAATTTTAAGTGCATATAATATATTTTAATTATAATTTTATTATATTTATTTTTGCTAAATATTTGACAAAGCAGAGATTGTTGATATTGTATGTTGATCTATTAAATTAGAGTCTACAAAAAAATACGATTGATTTTTTTTATGGATAAAGATAGTTTGAGTTTGAACTGGATCTTACCTAAACTGACAAGATCGTTGACCTCTTCCATGACCTGTTCAGCGCTGAGACCAGATTCAGGCAGTTGTCTCCTGACCGTGACACCGGCCAGTCGTTTATTGACGTCATTCTTGAAGTCACTGTTGATTTGTGCCATCTTCTCCTCGATCTTTCGTCTCACAATTGGCACTTGACGTAACCATCTGAAGAACTCTTTGCGTAACCTTGTTGTGACACCTGTGAGGAGAGTCATCAAATTTAAATATGGAATTTCTTTTTTAACAAGTCGGAAAAATAACAGAAGTTCCAAAGTTCCCATTTCGAATTTAGGAAACTTGTATTCACACACACACACAGGAAATCTTTCCATTCGACGAAGGTAATGTAAAAAGTATACCTTTGTTACTTGGAGCTCCAAACAGAGGCTTATGTAATAGGGAATTGCGCACGCGCATCCGTCGTGTATTGCCAGAGCAGATATTTTTAAGAATAGTAGTCAACAAGTTGAACAATAGCAAACCATTGTGGTTAAGCTAACAACTTATCTAGTGCACACTTGAACTGTGAAGAGGCAATCGAACATATAATAGGAGTACACATTTTGAATAGTGAATAATGCCGACATAAAGGATTATTGTACAGAAACAAGTTTAATGAACTGTAGCTAGTGAAGTGTAGCTGTGGAAGAGATACATATAATAATAATATAACTCACACACGGCCGTCTAATCCCAAACTAGGCAGAGCCTGTACTATATTTTAAATACATATATATTATAGACTAGCTCGTACCCGCGACTTCGTTCGCGTGGAATTTGAAAAGTGCCTTAGTGGGTTCATTCCCAAACCGGGCAAAATTTTAAAGAGTTTTTCTGAGAAGGTAAATAGCCTAATTTAGTCCTTATATAAACAGCTACTTGGTAGTAAAATATTATCAGAATCGGTCTAGCCGTTTAGAGGATTAAACGGAATAGACAGACAGACTGACAAAAAATATTAAACTGGTTCTTAGGCATAGGTATTGTGCAAGTGACTGTGTGAGCATGAAAAAAACCACTGAGCTTTGACATTACAAACAGACACTACAATTTTATACATTTGTATATAGATAAATAACACCCAGACACAGAAAAAATGACCGCTCATCAATAATTATCAATTAACAATATTTGTCGTGGGTGGGCCAAACCCACAACCACCAGCTTAGTAGTCAGGGTCACTAACAGCTAGACAGACATACATATTGGACAGTTTGACTAGAGTTATACTATGGCTTCACAGGAAGTTGGTGTTAAGCAATTCTTTCAGTGCTCTTGATAGAGTGACTGAGGGCACCGGAGCCCAAAACCTCCCTCCTCTATTCTGGGAGAACGCACTCGAAAGGCAGCAACCTAGTTGAGTCCTTGGCAGCGGTAATCACTTGCCACAAAGGGGCCCGTTAGCTTGTTTGCTTCATTTTTGTATCATACAAAAATATTAGATTAAGTTAGTGAATAGTGCTTGGTAACTAAATCATCAAAATACAAATCATCGTTTAAAAGCACAAAACTAATTTTATGTTGTATATCCAGTTTTATGGTAAAATAGCAATAAGGCTCTTGATGGAGGCAATATTGACTGCAGTATTTTTCAAGGTCAAAGGTTACATGTTACAATTTTAACATAATATATGTATCTGCGTGGAGGAGGAGGCCTTTGTGTCACAAGGACACGCTGACGCCCAATAACTGCGGCATAATAATAACAATAACAATATTGTCTTGATATAATTATAATGTTAATTAATTTAATTGCATGTTAACACTTAACTATTTAATAATGTAACTATGTTGGCAATAAAGGCTTAATAATAATAATAAATGTATCTGCGTGACTGTCTGTGGCATTATAGCTTCCAAATGGATGGAAAGATGTTTGATTTACTTTTTTGTTTGGAAGGAACATTTGAAACAAAATTTAAGTCTGGAGCTGAACAACTAGTCTATCAGTAGTGTCAGTATTTTATTCACATTTTAAAAGTGCTGACTCATTTTGCCGCTTTATTTGAATTGAACTTAACAAACACAGGCAAATTCTGTGTATAGCAAATTACATTTCAACAGCATTATACAAAGCATGTTAGGCTAATGTGAAAATTATATAAAAACAATTCCTTACCTTCTTTAGCATTATATAAGCTATGTGCCCAGACTATAGCGAGAACAGAAGATGCAGTCATAGTGACTATCTGCCATGGCTCTTTGCCTTCAAAGAACTTGTTTATAGCCTTCAGGGGCTGCGGTCTCTCACTCATTGCTGAAAATAATTATGTTTTAAGACCGATTTTGAATAATTATATTAACCTCACACATCTCACACACGGCTGTCTGATCCCAAACTAGGCAGAGCTTGTATTGTGGTAACCAGACTGCTAATAAACGCTTATATATTTTTAAATACATACATATTATAGATAAATTACACCCAGACACAGAACAAATGATTGTGCTCATCACACAATATTTGTCCTGGGTGGGAATCGAACCCACAACCTATGGCTTAGCAGTCAGAGTCACTAACCACTAGACGAACATTTCATTTTCATTTATAATTTTGTCTATTACTGTAATATTCAGTATTAAATTAATGAAATATAATATGTGAATTAATTATGTGATTAATTAATATTTTCTTAATAATGCTTAAATGTTAAGGGCCAAATTATTTGCTGTATGAAAGAATGGTAATACAATGTATATAACAACTCATAACATGGACAAACACATCATTATTACAGACAAAAGTTTGCACTTATACTAAGAATTCATGTTCAGAGTATTTAGCATTTTATTTAAGTCATAAGTTACTAAAACTAAATAATATTGCAAAATATTCTTCATTGACTGTAGCATGAGTTTAATAAAAGGTTAACAGGAAAAAAAACATAAAAAAGCACTAGGTAATTTTTTTCGCTCACAGAGATATGAACAAAGGATTCATTGTGTAAATTCTTGATTTTTATTTTTATCATAACAGAGTTTAAGGTATTCATAATTAAAAGAACATCGGTTTAAAGGTCTTGTAAAAATAAAGATTTTAGGATTTACTAAATTAACAGATTTACTGCGTACAGAAACAAAGATTTATTTGTAAAAATATAGGTAAACACCTTACTCACCGGTCAACTTCCAATTTATATGAATTAAAACTATAAATCGGGTTAACAACTAGTTGCTCAATCAATTCTTTCGACAAATAATATCATTATCACGATTACACTGATAACGATTATTCAATACGGATTACGTTCGTAAACAAAATACCTAAACGTACTGCAACATCATACAATGGATGGAAAATTGTGAGCACTAATAATAAATGTCAACTTGTTCGTAAAGGCCAAAGTCAAAGTTATATCAAAACGAACAATAGGCGAAGTGCACGCGTGCGCGTACTTACAACTTTTACAGCTGTAGCCTGTGTTGTGTACATAAACTGATAACGATTAAATTCAGTACGCTACCTACGCTCAAACTCATTCTGACGTATCTTCTACTTGTCAGAATCAGAATCTGTTTTTTATTTTTTTATTTTATGACTTTATTTTTTTCTGTACGGAATCCCTCCACGGGCCTCCACCTACCACTGTCTGTAGTGTGGTGGCTATGTCGGACTCGAAACGACTAAAAACCGCACGCCGTCTCGGGTACCAGTAGCCGGGAAACTAGGTGTACCCTAGAAAGGAACCTGGTCTTTTTTCTATTTTGGAAATTCTATTTTGGCTGTTTATTTTCTGTAAGTACTTCTCCATAGTGCTCTTCTTCTTCCCGACTAAAACCACACGGTGTGCCACTCTAGGCTCTCAAAAATCATAGGACAGACATACGGGTATTCGACGTTGAGTTCTTAGGGCTCTGTAATCTTCGGCCAAAACCCTTTGCAATGTTGTTTGTAACATTTGAGTAGTGAAAAGTATAAAAAGTCCTTGAAATCAGAGTGTGGCAGAGACAACATGAAGTCTGCATAGGTAGAAACTCTATTATAGAAATATAAGCATAGAGAGAACACAGGGTACAACTGACTGGAAGTGGAAGTGATACAGGCAACCTGAGAGTTAGTTCCCCTGCCGATAGTTCCCTTTGTCTCTGTTTAGCTAAATTTTAACTGGCTATCGTGAAGTGGACATGCTTTTGATCGTACAACAGGCGGGAGAATGGAACCAGCCTACCACAGAGCTTGACTAGAAAGAGATAGAGGGGAATATTTCTTATCCATGTCCATCTTTCTGTGAAATATGAGGGGTTAATAAGTAGCCAATCTCAGCTTAGCTAAACAGAGAAAGAGGAAAATATCGGGCCTCCATCTCTCTCCCCGTTTTCTCTCTATCTTTATTTCTCTATGCCTAAAATTGTTTTTTATTAATTTATTACTGTCAAAATCTAGTTCCTAACTGTCAATTGCTGTCTTTTAACGGACTTTCAACTTTTTGTTCCAGTTTTTATAGATACGTAATTTATAGCATCTTTTTTTTTAAAACATTCGTGATAAAGTTTTAACTAAAAATAAAATCCTATAAAGGAGGACCGCAAGATATAATTTTTGTTAATGAATTCTGTAAATGTATATTTGTGCTTTAAATTTTACTTCAATTAAGGCTTAAATGTAAAAAAGTTTATTTACATGCTCATAGTACTGTAATTTAAATCTGGAACGCAAATCACTTTGACTCGGGGTAACAGCTGTTGTTATTATGAGTCATCAACCTCCAGTTTCCTGTATTCCAAACACAGCCAAAATGTCGAGAGCTAAAAAAGTTATTGAAGAAGCAAAGGAAATTAATAATCCTGAAATAGATTTAGTTGATAAAGGACTATCGAGCCTCGACGAGGTACCTGGATTGTGTAAGTTATATCTCTAGAAACCTGTTTATCCTTAAAAGGGCGTAGGGTAACCTGTTCTTTAAACTCGTTTCGCCGTACTCTAGCTAGTATTAAACATATAAAGTGATCTCAATTCTAAAATACGTCTAAATATATATATTTTGTAAACTTACATGCAGCCAGAGAGTACTGCAATTCAAGGTTGTGCAATAACTGCAAGCAATGATAATAAAAAAAAAAAATAGCAATAATCCCCGCCCAATATATATTTTCTGTGTACATGCCGTTTTAATAATTGTGTTTAGTATTTAGTTATCTATAGGGCTAGTAAATTTCTCAACAACCCAGTATTATTTTTGCTAGTGACATCATTCTCCATAAACAGTTATTCAATAGGCAATAGTGTGATTAAGGAAACAAGTAACATCTAAATACCTCTTTCGGTGATGGAAAATATACTAAAATATAATATATTAAAATTATATTGAATTTTTTTAATTAAAAATAGAAATTTAAAACATTTTTTACATTTATGTATACATTACTATTCTTTACAGCCTCCTCTTTATTATGTTGATGTATATTTAATATTTAATACTCATATAATGCACTAAAAAATAAAACTCAATTAAAAAATTTATTCTGTCTATCACAGATTCTCTACATTTAACATACCTTTTTTACATAGTTATTGATATTTTTATAAATATTCAGTTTCTAACAGGTAATTTATAAAAAATAATAATATACACAATTACACATAATCCATACTAATATTTTAAATGTGAAAGTGTGTCTGTCTGTTACCTCTTTACACTTAAAGAGCTGAACCAATTTAGATGTTTTTTTTTTATAGAGATCGTTTGAGTCCTAAAAACAACCCATGTCCTTTACATAGGTTATTTTTATCTCAGAAATCATCCTTTAAGGGGGTGAAAGTTTGTATGGCGAATCAATAACTGCTGAACTGATTTAGATGAAATCTAGTATAGAGATACTTTGATTCTTTAAGAAAGACATAGGCCAATTTTGTACCGCAATAACCAATATATATGTGTGCGGAGCCACATGCAAAAGCTACTATTACGACAAAATATGTTTAGCTACAGATAAGATATATAGTGTTTGAGGCCTTAGTATAATTTCAGTATCACACTAAGCTGTGATGTTGCTACAAAACTAAAAAAGTAATAATTTTTTTATTATATATAAATTTTACATTGTAGTTTTAATTTATAAAATCCAACTTTGTGTAATTAAGTCATTTTACCAGCTGCCACCTTTTATCAATAATAATATTCTGTTTTTTAACTTTACAGTTAATCTAGCCAACATTACTCGTCTGTCTCTGAGTCACAACAAAATACAAGTGGTGCCGGCAGTTCTTGCCAACCTCATAAACTTGGAGATCCTTAATTTTGCCAACAACCATATCCAAGAACTGCCTGGCAGCTTGTCCTCACTGCCAAAGCTTCGAATTCTCAATGTCTCTCTCAATAGACTCAATTCACTACCAAGAGGCTTTGGCTCTTTCCCGGTGTTGGAAATTTTGGACTTGACATACAATAATTTAAGCGAGAAGAACTTGCCAGGGAATTTCTTTATTATGGGTAAGTATTTTTTGTATATTTTAGTTATTTTTTAGTATTATAATGTATACAGATTACTGGAAGTGTGGGGTCTCTAGTAATCTGGCTACTCCGAAGTGGTTGGGAGATCTGGTGCTGCCCATGTTAATTAGACGTCCACACTATGCTCGGTAGTAATATAAATCCCCTTGATGTATACAGATGCTTAGTTTATGTTTAAACTGTAAGCTTGCAAATTATTATTTTATTCATGTTTAAAATACTAATAGTCATGTGTTGAAATAACTGTATATAATCCTTATTTAATATTAAATAACTCAAATGCTGCCTCACACCATAGCCACAGCAGTGCAATATTTAATATCATGGATAATATTTTCCAGAAATTCATATTTTCAAAATGAGCAATGAAATTCATATTCTGAGTCAAACTTATTATATAATAATAATAACCAAAGACATCTCACACACGGCGTCTGATGCCAAACTAGGCAGAGCCTGTACTATGGTAACAGGACTGCTGATAAACATACTTAAATATTTCTAAATACATACACATTATAGATAAATTATACCCAGACACAGAACATATTATCAGGGTCCCTAACCACTAGACCAACAGGCCGTCAAATATTACTTGGTTGCTTTTGAAAGTGATATTTATTATCTCTAATTATCAATTTCAGATAGTCTGCGTGCTCTATACTTAGGGGACAATGATTTTGAATATTTGCCTCCTGAAATAGGCAACCTGAAGAATCTACAAATTGTAAGTACATAGGTAATATTTAGAATTATGTATGTTCTAAATGTGAGTGGTGTATGAGGAAAAATGTATATTCCTATACCACAACTCGTTATAATTATTGTGTTCTTTAATGATTTTGTCATATTCTATATATGTCTATATTTTCCTGTTAAGAGGATTTTACAGTTTAAATATGTTTTTAAAGAGAGTGAAACATTTGGTTATTAAATAATAAATGCAGTCTGACATGTTCCTTTATATACCTTTCCTTATTTAATATTTTCTTTATTTTCTAACAACAATTTGCACAATTTTCATACTCTTTTACCAAATTTGTTTGGGCTTATTGTAATATGTTCTCATTTCCATTCTCTTCTATCATTCAACAGTCCATTACTTACTACCTTTATAATTATATCCTCCCTATTATGCAGTCCTTCTCTTGTTGACACAAGATTGCTCCTAGAACCCTACAAACACCCGTGGAGGCTTCTGTGCCTCTTCTGTAAGGAGGAGGATCCAAACCACGATAATCTATTGCTCGTTAATTTATTAACCTCTGATGCTATATTCAAACTGGGTAATATTCAGAAAGGGTCATGATAGTCAAACCTCCTTTTTAAGGAGAGGCCTATGTCCAACAGTGGACTATTAATGATGTGATGTATGTATTTAGAAATATGTATATTTGTCAGCTATCTGGTTACCATAGTACAAGCTCTTCTTGGTTTACGATTAGACAGTGGTGTGTGAGATGTGTGTAGTTATTATTATTATTTCCACCATGACTTATGAACATTGTCACTGTCCATAGCTGTCTATGCGTGAAAATGATCTAATCGAAGTGCCGCGAGAGCTCGGGAACTTGACGCGGCTGCGGGAGCTACATCTACAGGGCAATAGGCTTGTTGTGTTACCGCCAGAGATTGGTGAGTTATGTTAATCATTTATTAATATATTTCCGGTTAGTTGTGTAACTGTCCTTTGCTCAAAATTAATTTATTCTCCTCCTAGTCTAAATTTATTTTAGAGCTTAACACATATGGTTTACATATAAAATACCACACATATAAATTGGAATTTACAATTTTTTGTTTTGATTCCCAAACTACAGTCGTACAATTATAAGTGGGGAATCTAAGCAATACTCGAAATACCATGAAAATAATACTGTTCACTTTTTATTTATTTTGCCATTATTGACTTTTATGAATAATATAATCATCATTTATTGTCCTATGTCTGTGCTACCAAATTATACCAAACTAACCGTTTTATTTTAATAAATGACTGCTCGGATGGCGTAGTGGTTTAAGCGGTCGCCACGCCGCTTCCTACTGCACCGAATGTTGTGGGTTCAAACCCTACATGGGACGACACTTTGTGTGTTCCACAAATTGTGGTTCTGAGTCTGGATGTATGTTTGTAAAGTCCCCTGCTACACAGGATTTATTCCCAATGCGGGAGTTGTCTTTTTAAAGGAAAAAAGAAAAGAAAACAAGAAATATATACAAATGTGAATTGATAGTTATTTATCAAATTAAATCAAAATCTTCTTCTGGAGGCGACACTTTGAATCATAAACCTTTTTTTAAGTACTTTTGCTCATACAGGTTCACTGGACCTAGCCAGCAACAAGTCAGCGTTAAGAATCGAAGGTAACTTCTGGATACCGCCAATCGAAGACCAGCTCAAACTGGGGCCATCTCATGTGTTAGACTACCTGCGGTCGGAGACTTATAAAGTGTAAGTATCAAACCTCTCATTTAAAGGACAAGGGGACTTATCACACAAGAGCTGTAAAATCATATACATCTCAGCATATATTGGCCAAGTTTTTGAGATAATCCAAGATATCCTTACTAATATACTATAAAACCTTTCACGTCATAACAACTTAACTAATTTTCAAATTATTTTTTAATACCTACATATTGTTAGAGATACAAAAAAGGTAAAAAAACAAACACTACATTTGCGTTAAATGTGGCTGGATAAAGGAAACACTATTGATCCTTAAGTCTTGTCCGAAAGGAACCAACATAATCTCCAATGATTGTGGTCATCATACAATTATTATGCCTACAATGACTCATCATTTGTTCTGTGTCTGGGTGACTTGGTGTACTATGGTTATCATAGTCCAAACTCTGCCTAGTTTTTGATTAGACAGCCGTGTGTGAGGTGTATCAAATGCTCATTATTATTACTGACACCAAATAACAGCGTAATTACCCCTTTTTTTTTTTCTCCGTGCGGAATTCCCCTCGGATACCACCTATCGGTGGCATGTCGGACACGAACCGACTAAAACCGCACGCCGTCTCGGGTACTAATAGCCGGGGAACCTGGTATATCCTAGAAAGAAAGTCCCTGGTGCAGCGTAATTACCCTTGTGAATACAATACATTCTAAATTTATTTTATTTGTATAGTCTGTACAGCCGTCAAATGTCAGCGAAACCTCCGCCACCACCACAAACCCTGGACAAGAGCAAGAAAGCGAGCCGAGCCGCCTAACGTAACATCATTAATCCTTATGTGCCATAACTTATTAATGCTTAATTTGTTATTAATTTAAAATGTTAATGAGATTGTGTAAACAACTAATCAGAGATACAGATTCTCTCAGATGTTTAATTATTAGTTAGGTAATTAACGCCATTTATAGGTTTACTTACCTTTGGATTTTCTAACGTGTCGGTCACGTTGCGGCTGTGGTCACAGGCTGACTGGTTCAGTGGTGTACTTGGCAATTGACAATTTCTTTTCGTCATGTGCCATCATCACAGGCTAAACTAACTAACGAAAACATTACAGGACTTATGTTAATGTAAGTTAGAAAATAATAATAATCCTCTGTCCTTTCTGTAAGCAATTTGTTTCTATTGATCCAGTGATATGTATCACTGGATTCTACCACTGAGTCAGCCTATGATCACGGCCAGAGCATTCCTTTTTAATAATCATAATTCAGAACGTATCCACGTGACCATGTATTCGTGTAAGTTCAAACAATTCATAGCCAACTGAAGCTATTTATATACGTAACACAATAAGACAGTTAAGTAATATCAGTACCTCTTTATTTAACTACTTTCAAATTCTTGAAAACGTATCCAGCTTTTCAGTGGCATATTTAACAGATTTAATCCATTCGCGTTAAGAAAATAGTGACTCGTCGATCAAGTCCCGCCCCCTGACCAATCAGGTTTCAAGAAATTATCGTTTCGTACGAATACTTGGAACTCGATTGGTCAATGTGCGGGGCTTAATCGATGCGTCACTATTCCTTCACGCGAATATACTGTAGTTGATGAACTGTGAACTAAAATTCTTGAGGAAACTATTATTGAACAGCAATGATACTTTGTGTTGTGACTTTTCGTTGTATGTTTGATGAAGCATTTATTTTCAAAATAAGTGCAATTATTAGGAAAATAGACATAGGAAAACAAAATACATTTCAAATAACTTTATTTATACAAATCAATACCCATACAAAGACATCATAACGTTAAATGGATGGAATACTTGTACATGTATTTTTATAAAAACTTATAATAATACATAATATTCTTGACAAAGTTTTGTCCGATATTTGGAGTCCAGAAATACACTTTTATGTCATTTATGCCAAATTTTTATAAATACAGTAATGTTAAAATGTATCTATGCACTCAATGTGTTTCCATTTTATTATAAAAATATTATTAATGTAATACTAATGGCCTCTCAAAAGGCAAGGAAAGCTCTGCTAGAAGCTTAGAAATTCTAGGTAATTTTCCCACCTGGACAACTTTGTGTTAACGGTGACATATATTCTTAGCGATGATAAGTGCACTTATGGAATTTTCAAAATATATTTTTACAAACATTATTAAGGTGCTACAAACTAATTTGTATGTTGTGATTGTATTAACCTATTATTATTATTAAATATTACTAACGAATATATTTTGTCTTATTATACAACCCGTGCTTTTGATATTTTTGTGAAAGAATGTCGATTTAACTGTTATTTGGTGCAGTGATCAAAAATAATATGCATAATAAACAAATGTTACCAGGTAATGAAATAATTATGTTTGATAATAAAAAAACAACAGGGTTTATGGCTAAGCAACTGTCAATAGTTCCCAAAATGCTTAGTGTTGAAATACGTTCAATGGGTGAAATAACAAAATTAATTTAGGGTCACTTTTTACTATGGAGGGTAGGGGATAGCGAAAAGGAAGTTCGCTAAAAAGAATAACTGACCAGAATGGTCTTTGTCTTATACCGTCTTGTCTGTCTGATCTGGTAGAGAGCGAGATTATGTCGTCAGGCTTAACAGTTGTAAAAAGACTGAAGCATATTACGTTGAAATATTGAATTTACTTTCAGAAATGTTTATAAAATGATAAATGGTCAAACAAAACCTTGTCAGATGTTTACTTTTTAATTTTTTTTGTAATAAAGGAGGCAAACGCGCAGACGTGTCACCTGATGGAAAGTGACTACCGCCACCCATGAACGCTTGCAACTCAGGAGTCGCAAGCGCGTTGCCATCTTAAATAATTCAGGGTCGTTTTCATCTTCTATATCTATACATATTAATGTATATGTATGTTCTCTGTGGAGTCCAAAAATGCTAAAAATTTATTTTTAGATTAACCTAACAGTGATCCTGCGAAGTTTGACCCGATAGACAGATATTTTTGTTTATTTTGTAATTGTGCGAGACCAAGGCGGGTAATTATTGTTTTTTTAAATTGCGTTTATAATGACAATGATATTAAGTGGTATTTTTTCCTTTCTACAGTCAGCCTATTTACATTTTACAGGGATAAACAAAACTGCTTAACTCTACACTGCATCCAAATCATCAAAACGAATCTTGCAGCTTATAAAAAAACACAGTTCTATTCAGCCATTTAGTACTGAAGACAAACATAGTCATCATTAACAGCCTTTAAGAGTCCACTGCTGGACATAGGCCTCTTCTTAGAAGAGGTTTAGTCAGGACAAACATGGGACCTGGAATAAATGTTACAGGTCAAACACATACATATCAATCTTTTTGGGCAATTGCATTATGTAAGTACAGTCTTCTATTCTGCAAAATAAATCAGTAAATTAACTAGTCTTTTATAAATAAGTCCCCAACAAAATCCATTCTATAACTTTAGACTAGATTAGATACAGTGAACACAACGTTACATACAAAATTAAAAACAACTATCCTATCTAAACACACCATGTTAACCTAAAAACGTAAGCATTAAAAATTAATATAAACAGCTAGATATTCAAAAGAGATCACTTAAATAATTCAAGAGAAATTTGTTATACCTTTTGTTAGTTTAAATTTTAGAAGGACCTTGAGATGAGAATGACCTTGAAATTGAAAAGAAATCCTCAGAACAAGCAAAAAAAAACGTGTGCGTCAGTACACCCAACAGAAGTGATCAATTAGACTACTCTAAGTTGAACTATTTAATATTGAAATTGTTTATTTTTTATAATCACTTTCAAAAACGGTGACAGTTTTAGGTTATATGCATACTGAACACTGAGTAGAGAGAGGGGAAAGCCTCTGTCCGAAATACGGCTAGCTCTGTGGGTAAGAGTGAGAGATGAGGAGCCTACCTACCGCTGCCGTATGCGTGAGAGAAAGGGAAGCCAGTCAGACTGGCGCCGTAACGCGTTACGTAACGAAGCGGTTTACCCTCCCATAAGAAGTTATCAATTCAAAAAATCGCCAAAAACGGTAATAAAGTTGTACATCAAAATTTATTTTTAATTTAACAAAAAAAGAGTAGAAGTCTATTGAGATTTTATATATGTAGTGAATAGAATATATAAGGCATCAAACACATTTGAAAAAGGTTTGGGGTTTGGTCTCTTAATAAAGATAATGAATAGTACCTACCTTATAACTGCTCACAATTAGTAACCCACAAGATTTTATAATACATTATTTATTTTTAACAAATTAATTCTATAATTTCAATTGAAAGAATACGTTTTATATCCGTAAAAAATGAACGGATATGCGTACGGATAGCCGTCTCATAGCTAGTGACTTAAAATGTTTTAGTCATTACAATCTCACATCTTATTACATCGACAGACCTGTTGGTCTAGTGGTTAGTGACCCTGACTGGCTAAGCCGGAATTCGTGGTTTCGATTCCCATCAAGGACAAATATTGTGTGATGAGCACGGCGTCCGTGTGACCGGGTGTAATTTATCTTTAAAATGTATGTATTTAAAACTAAATAAGTATGTTTATCAGCAGTCTAGTTACCATAGACTGCTATGCATCCAACTCATATGACATTAAAAGACCGTAAAGCCAACAAAAAACTTAACAGTTCATTTTCACCAATTTAATCATCATCGTCTGTGTCGTCCTCATCATCGTCATCAGATATCTCCATGCTCCTCGTACTACTGCTGGGATGCTCCGGTTTCCGTCTGCGTTCCAATGAGAAGGCGTACGACTCATAATCTACAACTTCGTCGTCGCTTAGGTGTGAATTACCTTCGACGAAACTCGCGAATCTGAGAACAAAGGAGAATCAATCTTTAGACTGTAATTAAATCACATAATAGGATGACTGTGAAGTCAAATCGGTATCTTTTTTTAAACGTCAAAACGCTGGACGCGTTACATCTTAATATATATAATTCTTCTGTGAGTGTGTATGTCACTGAACTTCTCTCAAACGACTGGACCGATTTTGATGAAATTTTTTGTGTGTGTTCAAGGGGATCTGGGAATGGTTTAGATTCACAATTTTGTCCGCTGGACAATGTTTTTTTAATTAATTTTTAATTTATTAGTAGTTGTTGATTTTGGAATGTTTTACATTGGATCAGACAGACGGCGCTACCATCGCAGTGTCAAATTTGACAGGACAACGTCTGTCGGGTCCGCTAGTCTTTGTATGAAATACTATTTCGTGACGTCATACCTAGCTATTGTCAAATCATTTATATTTAATATTGATTTTTTTTTTTGCAGGCAAATGCCTACGGCATTAAGTCCGCCATTGTACAATGAATTGTTGTTTGTGCAAAAAGAATTAAAGCAATAAATAAAATAAATTACAAAACAACTGTGACTTATTATTATGCTAGTCCCAGACTCGCGAAAGGTCTAAATCTAATTCCATGTCTAATGTTGATATCAAGCTATCAAATCAATAAAAAGATTAAATTGATAATGGAGGACAATTCACATTAAATAATAGAGGCAAAATAATTTATTTTTAATCTACCAATCTACCCTATTGTTTGTCCTGGGTGGCAATCGAACCCACGACCTCTGGCTTAGCAGTTCGGCTTACCAGTAGATCAACAGGTCAATCAACTAACAACTAATTTGTGATGAGTGACAACATCCGTGATCAGTGTTGCCTCTACAGTTGCGTCTAGATATTCACTAAAATTTTTTTAGCAGGTCACCCTGTTGAAGTAAACTGACGATGACAAATAGGTGGGTTAAGGTGGTTGGATTTCGATATAACTTTACCACCCTCTAAGTGGAAATCATCGAAGAAAAACTTTTGCAAAAACGAAAAAAAAAACAATCGCTCTAAGCATTATAAGTTACTATAAAACTTAGCATTATAAAACTTTGAGAAATTTGATCAAGGCTTTAAAAATTATACACAATTCAAACTTGATACCCACCCTTCTAGCCAGTGTGGTATGGTAGGCCAAAACCTCCTTTTTAAGGAGAGGCCTATGTCCAGCAGTGGACTATTAAAGGTTATTGATGACCCTATTGAAAGTTTCCCAATAGACGATAAGATACGGCATAAAGTCAATTTACTATATGACTGCACGGATGGTATAGTGGTTTAAGCGGTCACCACGCCGCTTTCTACGGCGCTGAGTGTTATGGGTTCGATCCCCATACAAAACAACACTTTGTGTAATCCACAAATAGTTGTTCTGAGTCTGGGTATTTGTTGTGTCCGTTTCATGTATGTTTTTAAAGTCCCCCGCGGCACAGGATGTATTCCTATTCCTAAAAAAAAAAAAGCTTCCAAATGGCTTACCTCTTGGAATCATTCAGCTTGAGCATAATCTTCCACTGCGCACAGTCTGGGCTGGAGCAGTACTTCCGCAGATTCTCCAGCGCCATCTTGGTTTCCCGAGCTCCTTGCTCGTAGTATTCTTCACTAGTTAGCAGTCTTGGTTTGGGAGGGAATTTGCGACACCTGTGACAACATTATGATTTGTCAAAAAATTACCAGAACCGTGTATTGTAAACGACACCACTGACCCCCCCCCCCCCCCTGGGGTGTCGTTTACAATTCTTTTTTGTAAACGACACCACTGCTGACTAGTGTGATGTATGACGTGAAATAATACAATTTGTTAGGGGTTAATTTTTAATGATAATGTTGAAATTGGTCGAGTTCATAGGGATTCGTCTACGTTGTTAAGCAGTCTTTTCATTGCTTTTCACCAAGTGAGTGAGGTTAACGAAGCCCGCTCCATCAAAGGCGCTTTGCACATGTGAGCTGCAAGTGTCCATGGGAGGAGGTATTCGCTTTCCATCAGATGACCCGTCTGCTCGTTTGTCCTCTTATACCACAAAAACTGCGTGAGGGGTTTATGGACCCCCGGTCGGAATGAAGTTCCTTTCGCTTTTTGGCAGACGTTTGCTATACATATAAAATATGAATGTGAGCGTCGACACGCCAACTGAAGTGTCGGTAAAAAGTCTTGTTACTTTTCTAAGGAATTTTGTTCCAAAAAAGATCAGTGCTGCCTTAAAGTAAATAGCTATTATAGGAATGACTTACCAACATGTGCGTATCCAGTTGATGAGTGACTGTGGGAAGTATTTAGTTACCAACGTAGCTATGATGACCGCCGCTGAAGCTTCTTGATATTCGCTGCTGAAGAATATCATCAGTACTCCCACCGCCTGCGATGTAGAAATTTAAAATTATTGGACATCGTTTACAATCACTAGGGAGTAGTACTGGCTGATAACTTATAGATGTCACTATGAAATACCAAATTCCAAATCTAACCATTTTTAAGATATTGGACTTTTAAGATTGTTTATAAAAATTGCCGAAATTCTGCCTAATACAATTTTTTTTATAACTTATACCCTAAAATTTGTCTTTTTTTTACTATTTGTATCTTTGATACTTTTTTTATAATTTTCATTAGCAAAATTGTAGTTAACAAAATGTAATGCCAAAGTAGTTTTTTTTTTTCTTTGTGCAATATTTTGAAAAAATCTATGACAGTTAAGTAATGGTGTATTAAAAAACATGTACGTATTGTCAGCTATCTACCAAGGTCTAATAATATTCTAGGATAGTATCAGAATTCATAGAAAAAAACTCGGATGTAAGACGGTAGTATTAAGAATGAGTGTACAAATCGGTAGTACCTAATAAAAAAAATTGTCTCGTAATTTGAAACTGTTTTCTGTTCTATTCGTGACTAACTATTGCTAACTGGACTTTGATTTGTGCGTCGGATACTGTTGAAAATGACCACCTATATAAACGAGGAATATCTTGATATTTTGATTTCTTACAGATACTGCCAATCAGGTGATCTGCATGTCATAGAGATGAATATGTTGCGGTGGATGTGTGGAGTCATGCGAAACATTTACTCCTTTTGAGAAACATAGTTTGAGTCCATGTGGTGACACCACCCCTATTCATCTCGTGGGTGTCGTAAGAGCCGACTAAGGGAGCAAAGTACGCAGACAACAGCACTGCAGAGAGAAGGAAAACTTGACACAAACCCTATACCAACCCGTCTGGCCAGCCTGGTGTAGTAGGCCAAAACCTCCTTTCTAAGGAGAGGCCTATGTCCAGCAGTGGACTAGTAAAGGCTGCTGATGAGAAACATAGTTGCGCTTTTAAGCTAGTTTTATATAAAAGAATTCAGCTAAGCAGCCTGTCCATAACATCTAACAGAACTTACATTATGTCAAAGTATATAAATCTCACCTGCAAAATCCACATGACAAGATTCTTGCTTCTCTGGTTTTTAGGAGGTCCTATCCTATAGCACACCAAGAAACTAACGAAGCTGACCACCAATGTGTACCAGAACATATAAGTTTGGTACGTCATGACTATGGTGCGAATGTTCTCCCATATCTGTTGGAATAAGTACACGCCGACTGTCCATCCACCGATCAAAATCCCATAGGTTAAAGTTTTCTGTAAAAGAAATATCAAGGTAGAAACTATGCTGTTCGCTGTACTTCATTACAGTTTCTAAATCGCAAGACTAGACTGAGTTGACGAACCAAACGCGGCGAGTATGTTTAGACTGGGCTTATATCAGAGAAACTGCGGAGGTTTCATGAACTTTCCTGACAGAATCCCTTAATAAAGCCACTGATTCGACACCCTATGAAACCCTTCTAGAAGGTCGTTAAACATTCAGGAACGTCGAAACTTTTTCCACATGTCTCAACTTGAGAGGACCGGTATAAAATGCATGCATTAACGTAAGTTATTGAAATCAAATATTCCTTAAAGTTACTACTACTGTGCAAGCTGAAAATAACTGCAGATTTGTTTTATTCATTGTGGTAATAATATTGGTGCTCATTATTTTGTTCGAAAACTTACTAAACTAAAAATCACTAAAAATTTGTTTAGTCCTGTCAAGTACTGCGTTTTCAGAATAAGAAACGTTGTTTGACAGGACTAAACAAATTTTTAGTAATTTTTAGTTTAGTTTAGAGAGTTTACGAACAAAAGTATTAGCACCAATGTGACAAAAACACAAAGCTCCTATGTAGTAGCAGCTTACATTTTGGTATGTATTATTAGGGTTATATTTAATGGAATGCCAACCAAGTTTGTGACTCCATTGATTTTACATTAAGTTTGCTTAACAAGATTAAACTGTTTTCTATTTTTGTCACATAGGTTTTCACCTTCACATTTTCAGAAAATAGTTTTAGTTTTAAGTTAAGCAAGCTGGTCATAATGTCATGTTCAAACACCAAAATATCATCCTTACAAACTCAAACTCAAACTCAAACTTTCTTTATTTCATAAAATTGTTTGAAATCGTCTTCCATGTAGACTCTAAAGTCATAGATCAACACACACAAAAGCAACAATCTCTGTTTTGTCAAATAGTAACCAAATAAATTTAACAAAAATCAAACCCATACAAAATCTATGATATGCCTGTGCTGATCTACAACCGCCCGTTTCCAAGGGGTTGAGCCTTATGAGAAGAAAGGGCAAACAAACTCATGGCCACTCTTTTGCAATTCACAAGTAGATACAATGGCACTATTAAATATATCACAACATTGTTTTGATGTGTGCTAGTATGTCCGTTATTAAGGACTTAAAGGTGAAAAAACAACGAAGAGAAAACAAGATTAAAAAGAAAAAACGAATACAAGAGAAAATGAAGTGAAACATAAAAAATAGAAAAAATAATAATAATAAAAAACATACTAGCCACACCACATTTTTACTCAAGAAAGAAATAGCCTGCGCTAATTAATCCCAAGCATTCTTGTCCTCCATGTAATCCACAATCGAGTAGTAGGCCCTCTGGCACAAGCCACGTTTTATTGCGTATTTAAATTTGTTAATACTCAACTTCTGAATATTATTTGGGATTTTATTATAAAATCGGACACATTGAACTCGAAAAGACTTGTTTATCTTTTGGAGCCTAGAGGCGGGTACAACAAATTTATTTTTATTTCTGGTATTTATGGCATGTACATCACTTTTTTTCAAAAAGCTATCTTTATTTTTGTGAACATATATTACATTTTCATAAATATATTGACTTGCCACTGTCATTATATTTATTTCTTTAAATTTCTGCCTCAATGAACAACGATTGCCTAAATTATAAAGTGCTCGAATAGCTCTCTTTTGCAGCACAAAAATAGTTTGAATGTCGGCAGCATTCCCCCACGGCAGAATACCGTACGACATTATGCTATGAAAGTAACTGAAGTAAACAAGTCGTGCTGTATCAACATCAGTCAACTCTCGGATTTTCCTTACTGCGTATGCTGCTGAGCTGAGTCTACTCGACAATTTATCAATATGTGGGCCCCACTGTAGCTTAGCATCTAGTGTTATACCTAAAAATGTCGTAGTGTCCACAAGGTCCAGCCCGACATCCTTAATTATCACAGTAGTTTTCACTGGCTTGACGTTTGGCATAGTGAAACGTATACACTTAGTTTTTTGTTCATTTAATAGTAAATTGTTGACATCAAACCAATGAACCACTTTCGAAATGGCGCTGTTTACAAATGTGAAATCAGAAAGTGTCCGTTTTAGTCTAAATAATAGTGATGTATCATCTGCAAACAACACAATCTCGAGATTGTCCTTGACAAAGTGAGGTAAGTCGTTAATATATACTAAAAACAAAAAAGGGCCGAGAATAGAACCCTGTGGAACGCCCATTTCTACCACAGAGCCTGGAGACCGCTCACCATTAATATCAACTTTTTGAATCCTATTACATAGATATGAGGCAAGTAGTTCCAGGGCTTTATTTTTGATACCATAGTGCTGTAATTTCCTGATCAGCGTTTCATGAACAACACAATCAAAAGCCTTAGATAAATCGCAAAAGATACCTAGAATCGTGGGCATCCTCCCAGGCATCAAATATATGTTTTACTAGCTCAACACTAGCATCAGTTGTGGAGCGACCCCTTGTAAAACCAAATTGTCTATTGTGCAATAAATTATTATTATTAAAAAAACTGTGCAATTGATCATACATAATTTTTTCAAAAATTTTACTAAATACTGGTAGTACTGAGATAGGTCTAAAGTTAGTTGGGTCAGATGTACTACCAGATTTGAATAAGGGAATAATTTTACTAGACTTCATAAGATCAGGAAATACACCACTATCAACACATTGATTAAATGTAAATGACAATTGATTAGCCACAAGAGATATAATTGTCTTAGTAATTAAAACAGAATTTCCCCATAGGTCGGTTGTTTTTTTAACATTAATAGTGTTAAAGGCTTTAATAATTTCAAAGGGGGACACATATTGGAACTTAAATTCACTATCAATTCTTCTAACATTCTCTTTTAAAATTGATTCTGCTAGGTATGGTGAGGAGTTCAAAGATTTAGTAGTTGATACAGGAATGTTAGTAAAAAAATTCTCAAATGCAGCAGCAACCTCAGCATTTGATGTGATAAATTTATTGTTTATGTTTAAATTAAATTCATTATCACGGTATTGATCTTTGCCAGTTTCACTATTAATAATTTTCCAAGTGGTTTTAATCTACAGAAGTCTTTAAAAAATTTGTAGTCAATACTAACCCTCGGCAATAGTTTGCTGACATAGTACACCAAGACCATGAAAGATGCAAACACTCCTACGAATATTCCACACAGGTAAAAGAACAATGGATTTGCACTCAAACCTCTTGATGAGGATATCAGTATGATACCGCTGGCCATTAACAGAATGCGCCATATATCTACTCCTGGAAACAAGAAAATACTTTTTTAAACATTGGCAACTGACACTTTTAGGTCTTAACACTCAAAACAAGAGTTAATGAGATCTTATAATAGTTTTATTTTCTATTGTAAAAAGATAACTCCGTAGTTAGGAATATATTCCTGTCGCGGGGGACCAGACTCCGAACAAGTATTTGTGGATCACATAAAATATTGTGCCATGTGGGGATCGAACCCACCACCGCTTAAAGCACTACGGCATCCGTGCAGTCCCGAGTCGTAGCAATCGTAAAGTAGAGTAATCAAATCGAAAACTATTAAAAGTTGTACTGCCCTAGTGGCCTTTAAAATCATAGGACAACCATATCCGTATTTTTTTTTTGTTGACGGGGTGGAAAATCCCTTCGGATCTCCTGCTCCTCGGGGACTCAGGAGCCAGGAGTATGTGGTGATTCCACTAAAAACCACCCCGACGGCCGGCCTTAGGTGTCCTACTCTAGGGAGGACCCGGACCATGTTATTTCAGGTCTTCCCCGAATTGACACCATGCCTAATCAGGCCCTATCCCAGGGGAGAAGACTTCCCCCTTCAATCGCGGCCCGATCGCATCTTAATCAATCAGGCCTGTCATTCCATCTCCAACCATATCAGTATGCAACACAATTACTTCGAGCTCCTCGAATATCAATTCTATTTCTCCATCCCAGACTAGCCATATCTCTAAAAATATAGCCTCCTCATTATATTCCTTTTCCTTACCAAAATTTACTTTCTGTACCTGTTTTGTGTTTTGTATGTGTGTTTTTCACATCTGAAAATGATTACTTTCCTATGAAAGATCAGCGTATGGCCGGCGGCGGGCCATAAAAAAAAGTGCCAAAATCCCTATGCAATATTGCAGTCATAAAAAATTCAAAACATAAGAGCATTGCATTTATGATAACTTTTGACAACATTTAACATCAAGTATACAACAAAATTCATTTTTTATTAGCATTATGATATGATTTACACATGGGAAGCCCTGAAAAATCAAGGAATAGAAAAGAAGTATATAAGGGTAATAAAAAATGTATATTCCAACAGCAAAGCACAAATAAAATTGGAAGCGGAGGGGGAAACTTTCCCAATATACAGGGGAGTGAGGCAGGGAGACCCACTCTCGCCAAAACTTTTTTCATCCGTGCTAGAGGAAGTCATGAAGAAGATGAAATGGGACAACATAGGGATTAACATAAATGGAACACTTTTGAATCATTTAAGATTCGCGCATGACATTATACTTATAACAGATAACCCAGAATGCCTTAAAAACATGCTCCAAGATTTGTCAAGTGAGAGCAGAAAGGTGGGCCTAACAATAAACAAAACAAAGACTAAAATATTAACAAATAGATCCCAAATAAGCATCTCAGTAGATCAGGAAGAAATAGAATATGTAAATTCCTACATATATCTAGGCCAACTTATTGCCTTCAACAATCATATGGATTCAGAAATAGAAAGGAGGGTAGCCAATGCATGGAAAAGGTTTTGGTCTCTCAAAGAAGTGTTAAAGGGTAAACAATATACTATTGCTATGAAAAGGAGAGTGTACAACACATGCATATTACCAATTGTCACTTATGGATGCCAGACCTGGGCTAACACGCAAAAACAAAATCAAAAACTGCCCACATGTCAAAGAGCCATGGAGAGGAGTATAAGGAGCCATGAAGAGCCATGGAGTTACACAAAAAGAGACAGAAAGAGAGCTGTAGATTTAAGGCAAATTACGAAAATCGAAGATGTCGTAGTCATAACCAAAATACTTAAGTGGAGATGGGTAGGCCACATGATGAGAGAGAACAGGAATAAATGGACGAAAGACGAAGAAACAGAATGGACCCCTAGATTCCAAACAAAAAGGAAAAGAGGAAGACAAAGAAAACGTTGGTCTGATGTTAGCAATAAAGGCTTAATAATAATAATTTACAAATTATGATAACTTAATCTCTCATAAGCTGCAAACAGCGCGAAATGCCGTTACACTATTAAATGCTTTCACCGGTGAGCGCTAATCAGTGTAGCGGCACGCCGGTAACCGCTGATCAGCGTAGCGGCACGTGAGAAATTAATATTTCTACATATATTTAGTTCTATTACTTTATATATTTCTTTCTCTTAGTACTAATGATGAGTAACTCATATTGTTCTAAGCAGTATAATGGCAGACTTACTCAGAACTTGTAAATCAATAGTGTGTCTCTCTTTAGTGTTAACAGCCATACACGTAGGACCAAACAGACTGACGGACACGGTTTTCTGAATCTTCTTTTGAAACGGGTTGACGACAGACCAGCCATAACTGTCCTCTGTGTACTCTTTGTATACCTCTTCTGGGCTAGGTCCAATGTATTGTCGGTATTCATCATTTTTTATTTTTATGTGAAACTGGAAGGTAAAAAACAGTAAGTCAAATTTCTTAATGTACAACTAAAAGTAATATGGGTACATTACCTTGAATAGCAATAACTAATTGTTTGAGTTAAGCTAGAAAACTCTAAAAATATTACTACTTCCAATAATTTAAACCATGTCATCAGTCATTTAAAGTCAGATAACTAACAATCTCCAGTTTCCATTGCAGTTTCGTAGTTGTCCTCAGACACAGTAAACTCAGTATAACATCAGCAGATCAACAACCTTTAATAGTCCACTGCTCTCTTTAGAAAGAAGGTTTTGGGCCACTACACCACGCTGGCCAGACAGGTTGGTATAGGGTGTGTCAAGTTTTACTTCTCTTTGCACTGCTGTTGCGTTGCGTAGTTCGTTCCCTTAGTCGGCACTAACGACACCCACAGGATGAACAGGGGTGGTGACACTCAGCATTCATAATCTGTTACCACATGGAAGTCATCCACCACAGAGAACACACACTACTTTGCAGCAATGGCATCAGTAGTAATACTGATTGATTAATGACCCATCTTGTGAGTAATAATACTCATAAGACTAGGTCACAATTAGAAAGTGGATGTAGTTGATTTAGTGTTTAATACAAATGTTAAAGTATGTATGCATATTTCTAAAATTAAATGTAAAATGTTGAAATAAAGTAAGTAACTTTTTTTTTATGGTTGCCAAACCTGCTTTAGTGAGTGCACTAAAGCACACATTAAAAAGTTAGAAACTTGGAAAAACTCCATGGAAAGGAGTATGATGGAGAAAAAACTATCTGACAGAATTAGAATGGAAACCATAAAGAAACACACGAAAACAAAAGATGTAACAACAACAATAAAAAAGTTAAAATGGAAATGGTCAGGCCATACAATTAGAGGAATGGAGAAATGGTCGAAATCGATAATGAACTGGTTCACAAGTCATAAGAAAAGAAAAAAAGGAAGACCACTTCGAAGATGGGTGGACGACATTAGAGCCTTAGCAGGGGGCACATGGACAAGAATTGCTAAGGATAGACAGGAATGGAAGAAGTTGGAGGAGGCCTTTGCCAATAAGTGGCACACAGACAGAGTTGTCGATGAGTAATAGTTAAGCGTAGTAGATAATATATATAATATATAAGTAAAAAAAAATTTTACAATAATTAAGATGTTAAATACTGTAGATGAAAAACTGTCAGGAATAAAGGCTATTTTTATTATTATTATTATAACTTTTTTTTTAATATAAAGGGGCAAACTAGCAGACGGGTTACCTGATGGTAAGCAACGACTATCGCCCAAGGACACCTGCAACTCAAAAGTCACAATTGCATTGCCGCCCTTGGAGTCCCTCTCGACTATATGACTATAATTTTGATAAATTATATTTTTAATACTTACTCGAACTGTTTGCCAAAGGGCAAACAAGTTTTTTGAGGTGCCTGTGTAGCAATAAATATCTACAGTCTGTTTTGCTGAAGGCACATCCCGCTCTATTGTAGTAGGGCCTCCTAACCAATGTACTGTAATATAATTAAGAAGGAGTCTTAAATAAAGCAATTTGGTAGAGAAGTTCAAACCAGAAGCATTTTTCATTGACAAAATAATATGTATTAACGATGTTACACATTTTTTGTCATAAAGACAATCTATGGTTTACTATACTATTTACTTACTTTGTTTTACTCTCAGTAAGTCAGTCCCGTGACAATTGTTATCGAAATAAACAACAAAATAATGAAATACTCTTGAAATAAAGAACAGACCAATTAATGATCTGATGAATACATCATTCGTTTAAATAACTTTTATTAGAAAGAGAGAATATTGTGGATAAAGAACAATGTTTTATATATATACAGCGGTAGGACAAAATATGAATAACAATAAAAAACAAGTGTTATCTTACCATCGTAAGCTAGTGAATGTGTTTGAGTAAATAAAGCAGCTATCGATAACAACAACAAGCCTCGTTTCCGTTCGTTGTTGCCCATGATTATACGTCGTGTTCTCGATATTTACATAACCATCTCATCAATTCACCAACTTCTACTTAACCAAGATTATCTCTGAACAGAATTATCGCATCCTATTATTCTGAGAACCTCAAATTGTTGCCGACTTTGAAGTAATTTCTGACTTCCATCCAAACATTATTATCGCATTGAATGAAACTTTTTGACATTTAACAATGACTTGACACTTGACAGCAGAAATTTTGAGTTTGACTTTTAACAAGTAAGATAATTAAGTAAGGCTCGCCAATAATCAAAATAAATAAATTGATACATAAATTATGCAAAATGAACATTACAATGTTTTTAACAAAGATTTTAATATTAAACTATAAAAAAAAAGAAAACTGTACAATGTTTCTGGTCTTCCAACACTTTCTGAGATATCCATTTTTTTAGTTAGACTTAAGATTCTCTGTCCTTCTACAATATAGTTTGATTATTATGGCCAAAAAATTGTCAATCTCGGAATGAGAGCTAATAAGCTTTTACAAACCTTATTCTAGCATTCTCAAAGTTGTTCCTAAGTCTCATAAAATCTGTTTCATAGAATGAAATTTGGAACCATTAAGAATTTGGACAAGGTTAAAAAAGATAGAATTAATTTTAATTCTATCTTTTTTATTGAGAACCTTGCTTTCTTACTTTTTCTTTTATATTCTTACTTTTATATTGGACACATTTACTACTTAAATTTATAAGTAGTAAATGTGTCCAATATAAAAGTAAGAATTAATAAATTCGAATAAATGTATTGTAAAACGAAATAATTATTTATTCTGTTAGGTTTGTTTAGGCGTGCAATGCCGATGAATCAACCCTTTTTTTCCTTGCGGAAATCACCCTTCAGATAGCGGGCTACCGGTGGGGGAAGTACCTCGACGTATCCCGGCATACTTTGGCCTTGCTGTGACCTAACCAGGCTTACCAGCCCTATTAAAAAAGCCTTTAAAAGTTAAAATAAAACATGTCAAACTTACTTCATATTTTTATTTGGTAATGTCCAATAATGAAGTGAGTTGAACAAACACTCACAATACAAAGATCAGTCAGTCGGTTTTATTATGACAAAAGCTAGTTAACAAAACTCGTACAATGACGTTTATTACAGATAAAAAAGGTATTTAAATCCGTTTAACACACATTCTGACAAAATGAACAGAGTAACATTATATAAAATTTTCTGAAGTTGATTAATTAATTATTTGTACGTGTGTAGAATTTAAATTGTCTAAATTCTATGATGAACCTGCTTTTATGTCCCATTATTCAATTGTATTACATTAATAAACAGCTAGAAACTTGAGAAGGCACTTATTCCAATGAATTATCTCTACTTATGTGTATAAAATCAAAACTCTTTTATTTGACGAATTATTTACGAAACTTTTATATTGTCTAGTTAGTTGATGGAATCTTGATATCTGAAAGAATATAAAATATCATTGTTAGTTGAAATTATATTTATATAGGTGTCCTAACATTTAACGATAAGGCAAGGATAACATGGTGGACCTGCTTATGACTACTCGAGGAAAAAAAGAAAAAAAAAAACATTTTTTTCAATAATTTTTTTTGTAAACTAGAAAATTGATATCCTTATGATTTTTTTAACTGTTATGAAAACAGTTTTTCAATTATTATTTTTTGCATCGGCAACCTAAATATAATAGTACACACACAACCTGAATAGAATAGGTCATAATTCTTAAAACTCCCATAATTACTAGTTTTTACACTAAAAATTATCAAAATGTTTTTTCCTAAAATGTTTAATTTTTTTTACTTTCAGTCCACTTTCGGTGATTGTGGTGTAAAATAAAAGTATGGATAGTACTATGGCAAGTTTTTTTTAAAACTGACGCAACTAACCAAGATTCTAAAATAGTATAATACTCTTGTAAAAATAGCCACTGGAAGTGGAGGGAAAGTAAAAATGTTTTAAAAATTTCAGGGAAAAAAATATTTTGATTAATTTTTGTGTAAAAACTAGTTTTTTTCCCTGAAGTAGTTATAAGCGGGTCCACCATCTGGTGCCTGCTTATCGTTGAATTTTGGTACACACTGAATCAAGGAATAGGGATTTGAACTTCGGTAATCTAACTTACTTGGTGAAAGGCTATGAAAATATTCATCACCATCGTCATCAACAGGCTTTAATAGTACCCTGCTGGACATAGGCCTGTCCTTAGAAAGGAGGCTTTGGTATAGGGTTTGTTTTAAGTTTTACGATAATTTTTTTTGTTTTTAAAAAGACAAGTCCCCACTAGCAATAAATCCTGTGTCGTGGGGGACTTTACAAACATACATAAAACAGACACAAAGAACACCAGACTTTGAGTCTGGATGTTGTTTGTGTCTTCGTGTTTCGTCCGTGTGGTGACAACAATTTGCAGATCACAGAAACTGTCGTCCCATGTGAGGATCGAACCCATAACACTCAGCGTAGTAGGAAGCGGCGCGGTGACCGCTTAAACCACCACGCCACCCGTGCTGTCGAATTTTGTTTCGTTAGTCGGCCCTTATGAAACCCACAGGATGCATAGGGGTGGTGACATTCTGTATTCTCAATCCTCCGGACGGGGGGAGGGACTCAAAGGGCAGCAATTTACTCGTGACTCTAGATTTGCAGGCGTTCATGAGCGGTGGTAGTCACTTTCGATCAGGTGACCCGACTGTTCGTTTGCCCTTTTATACCTGACAAAGATCAGTGCAGGCAGCACTGATCTTTGTCTGCTGAATATGTCTGGTAAAGTGAATAGTTATCATAAGAATGACTTACCAATATGTGCGTATCTAGTTGATGAGGGCCTAAGGGAAGTATTTAGCTGCCAACATGGCTATGATGACCGCCGCTGAAGCTTCTTCATATTCGCTGCTAAAGAATATCATCAGTACTCCCACCGCCTGCGATGCGAAATCCACAATTACTAAACATCAAATTTATTATGGTTGAAACCGTCAGTTTACACATCTAATATTGTTTTTTTTTTTATTGTTTTACTTCAACTTAATTTATGAACATGACATTACAATCTGTGTCCCACAAAACCGGGTTGATGGTATATAAGTCAGTAAAATAGATCACTTTTAGTTAAAATAATTGCAAAGATTTTATGAAGTTCTATCTTCAAGCACTCATAACAAACAATTCAGTAAAGCTTCAAAAACATAAACCATATCTAATTTACCAAGTAATAACTACCTTCTTACTTCTCAGAATTATTAAATGCTAGCTATATTAATATTATAAAGCTGAAGTTTGTTTGGTTGAAAGCGTAATCTCAAGAAATTCTTGTTCGAATTGAAAAATTATTTTACTGTTATATTACCCATTTATAGTGGAAGGCTATAGGCTATTAAATAACATGCTGCGACCAATAGGAGCTGAGTATCACTGAAAAATGTTGCAGAAACAGGAAAAAATATAATTCCTTCCGCAGTTACGCGGGTCAGCTAGTTTTATATAAAAGAATCTAGCTAAGCAGCCATTACGAAAAGTGTGATTGGGCGAGGCGAACGGAAGTTAAGATCGAGATATAAGTTAGGGAAGATAGAAAGAGAAAGAGTTACGTTTCGTATATTACTGTAGGGGCAAGAGAGAGCGAGGTGCGATCACACATTTTCTTTCTCTTTTTCTCTCATAGACAGTTACGTATGAAGCTAAATAAGTTTTACTTCAGTCGTGTGGTTTTTAGCATACTCATTTTTTTTTAACTTTTTTTATTATCTTCTGAATACCAACAGCATAAAATACACTTACTAAAAACTAAACCTAATAACATTGTTGCTGTTGAAAGGCATTCGCAAATAGGTACCAGAACTTATATTATGTCAAAATACATAATCTCACCTGCAAAATCCACATGACAATATTCTTGCTTTTCTTATTTTTAGGTGGTTCTATCCCTATCCAATAGCACACCAAGAAACTAACGAAGCTGACCACCAATATGTACCAGAATGTAAAGGTTGGGTACGTCATGACTACAGTGTGAATGTTCTCCTGAATCAAATTATGATCAAATATCATGATCATGATCAAAATCCCGTAGATTAAATTTTTCTGTAAAAGAAATATAAAGGTCTCGTATCAAGAAATATGTGTGAGAGATTGTGCTGTTTGATATACTTTATTACACTTCTTCTCTTTGTGTAACGCAAGACAAGACTGAGGCGACAACCAAACGCGGCGAGTATATTATAGCTTATTGTATGAGTATAGAGTGATTATATGAGTATGTTATAGCATATTCAATTTAATGTTTTTAAGTATTTTTATTTTATTTCATAATTTTACCTGTACAATTTAAAAAATTTGCATGCTATCTAAATATTAGTGATGTGCCGGATATCCGTATCAGTATCCGCGGATATCCAAGGGAGAAGAGAGATCCGTAACCGTATCCGTATCCGTGACTTTTTTGGCGGATCTTTCAATACATGGATGAAATTCTATATAGGTGATTTTGTATTCACTGTAAAACTCTTAGGTATGTGTTTGTAACACTATAAACAGCAACTTTTTTTCTGGCCAAAGGCAAAATGAAAAAAAATTGGTCCTCCATTCAAATGACCAATCAAATGTTGTTAGTTTGTATGGAGAAACATGTTTTTTCTTTCGTTTTCGTTGTTTGTCCAGAAGAAAAGTTGTTGTTTATAATGTTACTAATATGCACTTCAGAGGTTTTCAGTAAATTTAAAATAACCCTGAATAATGGTTATTAGGTAGCTATAAAAACTATTGAACTCTGTTCAGATTACTTTTTATTTCTTAAAACAAATATTTGGCACCTTTGTATTGCAATCATTTATCGTACTACACTAAATCAACTAGGCAGGTCGTAGGCACTGAACGAGCTATCTTTATAATGAGATCAATCAAACATCTTTGTATTAGCTTATTAAAATAATGAAATATTTAAATATCAACGGCAAAGCGTCAAGTGGTGACAACAATCAAGGTCACGGGCTCCCATTGAGTAAGAAACTTAAGATCCGTATCCGTATCCGCAGATCTTGACACCAAATATCCGTATTCGGATCCGTATCCGCGGATATACTTTGTTAACGATCCGGCACATCACTACTAAATATAGCGAAATGTGTCTTGTGCTTTAAACATTGTAAACCACCTACTGTGACTACCACATTTTCTACAAATAAATATTATTATTATATTATATGTTTAGACCGGGCTTATATCAGAAAAACTGCAGAAGTTTCATGAAGTTTCCTGAAAGAATCCCTTAATAAAACCACTAACTCGACACACCTATGAAACAATTCTAGAAGGTCGTGGAACATTCAGCAATGTTGAAATTTTTTCTACATGTCTCAACTTGAGGAGAAAATCAGTATCAAGTATCAGTACAATGTGTACCAGACCAGTATACATAATTATATTAACGTAAGTTGCTGCACTTTATTATTCTGTAAAGTTAGAACAACTATGCAAGCTGTAAATTACTGCAGATATATTTTATTCATTTAAATAATTTATTGCACAACTATGTAAAAAACAGAAAATGGTTCAATCTTGCTAGACAAACTTTATGTAACATCAATAGAGTAAGAAAAATGACTGGTATTTTTTTTTACTGGTGATTACACTACGCGTATGTTACAGGTATAGGTATACACTATTAACGCGACATTCGGAATTCCATTGAATAGATCCCAATAATACATAACAAAACGTAAGTGTTTGAATATGAAATTTATATTTCAGGTTGAACATCGCATGGCAAGTGCGGGCCAGCGTGAGCCACCGCGAGACAGCGCTCGGCGGAGAGAGACCGTGCGGGTCCTCGATGGCCGGGACGAGAAAAAAAAAAAAAAATATATATTGTATTCAATTCTCGTCTCGGACATAGATCTCACGCATCTTATTCACACTCATTCCGTCCACGGCTCGCCTGGCCGGTGTGCATTTGAGCTGCTACTACATAGGAGCTTTGTGTGCCATAATGTCAAACACCAAAATATCATCCCTCTCAGCGGTGTTAAAAAAATTTGCAATCAATACTAACCCTTGGCAATGGTTTGCTGATATAGTACACCAAGACCATAAAAGATGCAAACACTCCTACGAATATTCCACACAGGTAGAAGAACAATGTATTTCTACTCAAAGCTCTTGATAAGGATATCAGTATGATACCACTGGCCATTAAAAGTACGCGCCATATATCTACTCCTGGAAATAAAAAAATACATTTTTAAACATTGTGTCAAAACTGTCACTAGGGGTAACAGTACCATTTAAAAAGAGACCACAGACTACATTGTAATATACTAAAGAGACTTAATGGCATCATTTAGGGTGGCAACGTACTTGTGACTCCTGATTTGCAGGTGTCGAATGGCGGCGATGGTCACCCCTCTGCTCGTTTATCTCCTGATACCATAACAACAAGACATCCATATCCTAGTGACCTCTCCAAGCCTACAAGTACGCAACACCGGCCTCTGTTACGTATGTTTGACGAGGGACGTATGTTTAGGTGTACTGCAAGTCCTCAACTTGCAGTACACCTAAACATACGTCCCTCATCTTATCTGTTTTCTTTACCCTAATTTACCTACTGTATTTGTACTGTTTGAAAACGATGACTTTGATAAGGAGTGTCGGAGTAAGGCAGTCTCAGGCCATGAAAGAAGCTCAACAAAACCCTTCGGTATATTGGAATGACCACATGGCAAATGAAATATCTGGACAGGTTTACATGTGTGTGAATTGTAAAAAAATGGTTTCTTCACTCATATATTTGTAAATTATTTCAAAACCAATCTGTAGATTTTTTCTAGAAACAGTTCACAGGTTTCTAGAATCACAGGTACTGCGCACTACTGACATGGTATTTTGTTCACCTTGTGTAGTTATGATGGTTTCTGACATCTTTCCACTTTACCTTTACAGTTTTTCAGCTTTACAACAAAATTTACTTCTTGTTATTACTTAATGGTTTACTAATTTTTATATTGTTTTTTTTACCTAATTATTTCTATATAAATATATATCTAGTTCAATTACAGCAGTTGATGTATGAATATATCTTTTAGTACTAATAATGAAACTTATAATCTCACTCATGTTGTATAACTAAATAATATAATGGCAGACTTACTCAGAACTTGTAATTCAATAGTGTGTCTCTCTTTAGTTTTAACAGCCATACACGTAGGAGCAAACAGACTGACGGACACGGTTTTCTGAACACCAGACCGGCCAACATTGTCCTTTGTGTATTCTTTGTATACCTCTTCTGGGCTAGATCCAAAGTATTGTTGGAATTCATCATTTTGTATTTTTATGTGAAACTGGAAGGTAAAAAAACAGCAGTTTAATGAGGGTACAACGTTTTAATTAGTTATAACTCCGACCTCCGACCTTATAGCACCTGTTAAGCTAGAAAGGAAAAGGTTTTTACACTAAAAATGTTACACTTACACTTAAAACCATCAGTGACCTGAGTCATTGATATAGGTCGGAGTAGGGAGATTTATTTACATGGATGTTAATATGACAAACCGCCCAAGTGCGAGTCGGACTCGCGCACGAAGGGATCCGTACAGTTCGTTGTGCCCCACTTGACACTAGGTGGCTCTGTCGTCCAGACACAACACAAGAACCAATTAATACTATTGTGTCGTAACAGTATTGTGTCGTACGGCTACTGCGCTCCGCTTTTATAGGGCTATCGAAATAACTGTAATGATCCCTTTTTTTTCGTTGACGGGGTGGAAAATCCCTTCGGATCTCCTGCTCCTCAGGGACTCAGGAGCCAGGAGTATCTGATTCCACAAAAACTCACCCCGTCGGCCGGCCTCAGGTGTGAGAGTCTACTCTGTGAAGACTTGGACCACGATATTTCAGGTCCTACCCGAATTGATACAATGCCCAATCAGGCCCTATCCCAGGGGAAAACACACACACAAAAAGTTCTGCACCTATTTAGCTTAATTTTTGACACGATATGCAACCCGTTTCAAGGATTCCTTTATCTATTTTGTATGTCAGGTTTGTTTATCCTTTGTCACCAATGCAACAAAGTGCCACAGCGAAGCGTGGCAGGGAACAGCTAGTAATTTATAATTTAAATGCTTACCTGAACTGTTTGCCAAAGTGCAAACAGTTTTTTTGAGGTTCCTGTGTAGCAATAAATATCTACAGCTCGTTTTGCTGAAGGCACATCCCGCTCTATTGTAGTAGGGCCTGCTAACCAATGCTCTGTAAAAGAAGAAAATAAAGGAGTCTTAAATGGAGCTTTCATTAAAGAAGTCAGTTTATACCAAAAGTTTCTTAAATTGCCTGAATGATATGTATATTATGTGTATATTTGTTACACATTTCGTTGTTAAGAAATAATAATAATCATTTTTACTAGAGTTAACCATGACTCATTGCTTGTTAGTAATACATAAAACTTTTCCTATGTTAGTAGAGACGATTTACAACAAATAATTTAGCACTCAATGAGAGACGGCGCTGCAGTGACCCATGTACCAGGGCCTCAATTCTGCTATTTTGTGTTAACGCCAAGCTACTGTCATCCCGTTGGCACGCTATTGAGATGCCATTGACATCGATGAAAATATCAGTATTATTCTAACATCAATTCACAGTGTCAATAGACTGTCGATATAGTAATAAAACAATGGTGTATAAATAATATACAGTAATATAACAAATCATCAATGGTGATATCAACAACATTGACATACCTGTTTTTTTTTTACGAAACTATTACAAAAACATCGACGACATTTGTATCATCAAGTCATCGGGAGGCCATTGGTCTTACATAGTTAGTAGAATAGAAAAAGTGCAAAACTATTCCGACGACATTACATCGACAGTCTATTGATACAATATTAAAATAGCAGAATTGAGGCCCTGCAATCCAACCTCTGAAATCATGGCTAATATGCTGTTAGAGCTAGCCCGCACCCTGCGCACTAAACATGCACACCGTTTTCGAATAGTAGTGTGAAAGCAGTCAACTCGCGCCTATGCGAACATCCCGGATGCACGACAGAAACGGGGTAGCACCAACAGCACCCTAAACGCATTGTTGTATTGGATACGGAGGGAGTTGTATGCTTTTCGAGTATATGTAGCCCACAGGCTGCACGTATTGAAAGACGTGCAGTATGCGCTGAAGAGTGTGATCTTAACCTTATTCGAGCAATGTGTAAACCTCCGGGTCAACATGTTCGCTCACACCGACAACGCCCTCCGTTTCCTTTCCAGATCCTCATCGTCTTTGAGGCTGGGAGTTAAAATATGCAATAGAACAAACGTAAAAACTTAAATATCTTTGTTAATGGTGGCATAAAACAAACTATGACTTAACCTTTACTTACTTTGTTTTACTATTATTAAGTCAGTCCTGTGATAATTGTTTTGAAAATACAGAAATACTATCCGTGCGACGTAACTTGAGAACTGTTTGGAGTACGACTCCCCGCCCGCTCAACTGCCACTTCCCTCCGAGCGCCCTCGTTTTACAGCAGGCAACGCCATTTTGTCTAAAATATTATTCTCGTACACGTAACGACGACGTACTCCTATTGTTATCAGATATTCCTGTTACCTATTATTGTGGCTCCTGTTATCGTTTTGTAATCAGACTTTCTGTTGTGATTTTGTTGTTAACCGTATTAAACTAAATTTTGAACATAATTCTAGAAGTATCTATTCATTGATAATGTATTCCCTAGTAGTCCGGAGTTGTTAAGAAAAGCGTGATATGTATTTTATTTTTTTGCCACTTTAGTGTTTAAAATTTTAACCTAATCGTTCGGAAATAGTTACCCATATACATTATATAATTCTGATTATACATAACATACTAATTATACAGTTCTGAATTAAATAAATTGAATTTTATTACTACTTCTTCGTAGCCTAATAATTCACGCAATCAATATATAAAATGTTTTTAGACCCAGTAATAATAAATAATAGTAAAATCAGTAAAAATAAAAGATTAACATAAAGTGTCGTTGTTTTGAGTACGACACTTAAATGTAAAAAATAACACAGACGAAGTCGCATGCGGAAGCTTGTAGTGCACTTTTGTGCACTCTGTATTACCTAACGCGTGTCTGTGACGTTACCGCGTTCTGGTCTCAAGTTATGGCGCTCGGGTACATAGTAGACTAATCAATTTTTGGCATAAACATAGGATGTGGTACAAGCAGACGAATAAATTTTAATATGAAAATTGTGGATAAAGAACAATTACTTACATATTTATACATCGGTGGAACAAAATACGTATTACCAAAACCAAGAAAAAACAAATGTTATCTTACCGTCGTAAGCAAGTGAATGTGTTTGAGTAAATAACGCAGCTATCGAAAACAACAAAAGGCCGCGTTTGCTGTTGTCCATGATTTCACGTCGGGTCCTCGAAATTTACAAAGCAATTTGATCAAATCCAATTTTCACTTAACTACGGTTATTCTGAACACAATACGAGTTATTATAGCAACCTTATCGTTTAAAAATAAACCTCAAATTGGGTGGTCAGTGTTGCCAACAGTTAAATTAACTCCCCAATTAACATTAAATTAAACCTAAAAAAATCCAAGGAGAGGCCTATGTCCAGCAATGGACTACTAAAGGCTGTTGATGATGATGATGATGATGATGAAATTAACTCTCGGCCAGATTCAACCATATAGATAATATAAATAGATTAAGCGAACTGTATATTCCTCTGTAAGGCAGTGCGCGGACAGTGACTCTTGTGTCTTGTCACCGTGACTTTTTTATCACTCTAGTCCAGCCTATGCGTTTGTATGGGTGTGTGCGCACGCAGAGTGACGTCCATCAGTCAGTCACATTTCTGTGACTTTTTGTCCGCCGACAAGTCCGTGACAAAATTGACACTGGCCCGGTTTTGCCAACAGTTAACTAAACTCGCCATAAGTATATTAATCATTTGTTTTCTTTGGTACTACGTAATACTAATATAAACAATCAATAAATCAACAAGTCGAGATCAAAAACAAAAAAAAAACAATGACAACAGTTACTTATTTGAAATTAGTTCGTCTTCTTCAGATGAATCACTTTTTATCTGCACTATCATCGTCGAAGTCATAGTCCACATTATTGACTTGTCTCTCGACTCCGGAACCTTTCCCTCTCTGACACATTAAGCTGCCATGGTTATGGAAGCGTCTAATTTTTGTTAGATTATAAATTAAAAAATTACGAAACAGGTGAAATCCTTCAAACAAAAATACAACTTCTATAAGTTACTACGTGATCCATTCGAAAGGGAATAATTGTCACATTTGATGTCGGTAGTGGTAGCCTGCTCTACGAAACCAAAAAAGGTTTTTATTAGTAGTTTTAAGGGTGATAATAGTTAAAAACCTACCATTTGGATTTTTATTTGGGTTTAAACCCGTATGCTCCCAAAAAACACGGTTTAAACCTCTTTTAACCCAATGGCTTTAAACGCTCTGTCCATCTATAGCTGTAGGTAAATATTTCAAAGACAGGGTGGAGTCACACCGAGACGGCGTGCGGTTTTAGTAGGTTCGTGTCCGACATGCCACCGCTAGGTGGTATCTGAGGGGATTTCCGCAAGGAAAAAAAAAGGGTGGAGTCACAAAACATTACCGTGGCACTTCCGTCCAATCTCAATGCTTCTTTTTCTATTAAAAGTTCTTGTTGTGGTTTGCATACACGATAAGAGGTAGGGGAACGGCGACAGGCGTAGCAATACAACATGGAATTAACGGACGATCGACTTAAGCTATGTGAGAGATTCTACACTCACTGCCGGCCGCTGTTCCGCTACATGCTGTCGTCCAAAATAGGATTCTTTAAATTTTATTTTGTCATTTACAAAAACAAAATATTAATTCATATTTTTAAATTTAAAAATAAATAATTAAGAGGACTCTCAAAGTTTTTGTGATTCATAAAATTAATTATGTACTCCATATTTATTTTTGCTTAACCGAAAAAACCGGCATATTTTTAACTAAGATTTTGTTCCCATCGATATAAATTCTTTAATTATTTAACAGCTGGCGCTTTGTAATGCAATAAGATGGTAATTAATGGAAATTGTTACATCTCCAATTATTTTAGACATAAAAAGTAATATTTTTAAGAAAAATCGCTTTTTCTCTTTCTTCTAGCAATTTGGAGACAACGACCGTGTCTTCAAAATCAAAAAGCCAAATGACACTTAAAATTTCAAAAAGGTTTTGTCATTGTCAAATCACGTCTCCAAAGTGAAGTGCGCGCACGGAGAGTGACAGTGACAAGTCACGGTGACAAAAGTCATCCGCGCGCGCACTAGTACGGCCTGTAGACAGAGAAAAAAGACTGTTTTGGTCTTTTATCTCTCTTTGCTCTCTGCACTGATTGGCTGATACTAAAGATAATACTTACTTTCCTATCAAAGGTTCTTGAGATATGCATACACAAACAGTTCTCACAGTTCGTCTTTAAACAGTATCCATAACTTCACTTTAATCTTACTATTACTACTAAACGACTAGAAAAAAACAGTACATTATAAAAAATTAAGAAATAAAAAATTTTTTTGGCGAAATCACAAGGTCCTGTTGGCAACACAAGCCATGTTCATGTTATGTTAAAAATGAAATTAGCGGTTCTTTTAAATATTAAGGCCGTTTCTTGAGATTCTTGTTTTAATTTTTGTGACGGTAGTTTACTGTGTGTGCGCGTGTGTAGTGATTTTAAAATATAGATCCAGATGAAAAACTAACTAAAAAATAGTAAGAACATTAATAATTTTTACAGAGTTCTTAGAAAAATCTTGACGGAGGAGAATAGGACTGAAGATGTAATAAAAGTAAAGGACTACAAAAAACTGGATGAATTTGCCCGGGATATTATTCAAATGCCGAAAAGGTAAACCAGAGTTGCCTATGTCTATGAACGGTCAAGATATGAGGACGTTTTCTTTATATAAAGTTGGCTAGGCACAGCAGATTAATCAATGAAAGTCCTGATAACTACTACGGTCAGCTTTGACTATTAAAGCCTAAACTGAAAGATATAAAAAGGTTGCTAGAATTTGTACCCGAATCATATTTCATGATTCTCGCAACACCATAAATGTAGCACCGGATTCTGAAGAGGAAGTTGAATGACCACCAGATTTACATATAATGCCGTAAGGGTCTATCATTGATCAATGTAATATCACTAAGTCCAAGGATCAGAAATAAGTCCTAAAATGTTAAGATTGATTTACGACACTCCTGTTACGTTTAATGTTTCGTCCAAATAAAAATGCTCAATTGGCAGTATAATGGACTTTTTTTTATCAACAGGTTCAGTTGACAATTAAAGCATTGAAATGTCGTAATCACAAGTCACTTTTTGGACTTAGTGATTAGATTAGTGAGATATATTTTTTTTAGTTAGACTCTGTCCTCCTACAATATGATAGTTAGATAATTTTAGCCAAAAAAACGGTCAATCTCGGTATGAGAGATAATAATAAGCTATATATAAGCGATATTTACAAACCTTATTCTAGCATTCTCAAAGTTGTTCCCAAGTCTCATGAAATCTGTTTCATCGAATGAAATTTCGAACCATTAAGAATTTGGACTAGGTACGCAACAAGAAAAGATAGCATTAAAATATTAGTGAAGTAAATGTGTCCAAAATAAAAGTAAAAATTCAGAAATTAGACTTGATCTATAGTAAAAAGAAATATTTTTATATTCTGTTAGGTACCCTAATTTAGGATAAAATGTAAGGTTTATAAAAAGATTAGTTTATATAGATTAGTACAATCATGACATGAAAAATTGACAGATTTTCAAAATTTCAGATCTCTAGTACAAAAAAAAGACAAAGACATGCGACGGTTAGATCATGGGACTTTGTTGACAGAGACAGCATAAAAAGGTTTTTAAAAATTAAAATAAAACATATCAAACTCACTTCATTTATTTTATTTGGTAAAGCATATACAATAATGGAGTGTTTGTTTTAACAAAATAATACAATAAGGCACTTGTCTGTTCCTTATAAATTGTACTTCAAAACTTGTACATATATATAATTACGGGAATGAATACTGCAATACAAATACATAATACCGGAATGTTATTGCAAATACTATTCAAACAACTTAATACAAATTATTCATACTGCTAATTTCAAATAATACATCAGCTACCATTCACCAGCCTTGACTTGACAGGAATGTTTAAATAAATACATCTCTAAAATACTGACCTAAACATCATAATGAAGTATAAATCACAGCTTTCTTAAATAAATTAATAATGCAAGTTTAAAATATAAAGTGATTTCGATGTGGACTTCATTATTATAAAGTTCAACTATAAATTTTATATTATAGAATATAAGAAAAAGTATATTTATGGTATTTTGTAACAAATTAAAAATATATTAGTTATGTCACTTTTTATTCAGCATAGAATTTGCCATTGTGTGTTGTTAATTTGGTGCATATTAACATCCTATACATTGTTGTGTTTATTTTGTACTAGCCGTGTGAGTTTGTGGATATAATTTTTAAAAGGAACTTTTTTATAAGGCATATTAGTTATATTATATTTCTATATTCACCTGCAACCACTAGCGACACAATCTATGAGTGAAGAATTTAATATTTATTGTCCAAATAAATTTAACTAATTGATAGATATACTGACGTTTACGATTCTAGCACCATCTAATATTACATTGTATGCTTTTTTCCTAGTACATATACTGTGCATTATTATGCATGTGTGCATTTAAAATATCTACAATTTCATGATTTGGTGTGCTCGTTTAGTGTTGCCAGACTATTAATTTTCTTATAAAACATGTAAATGTACACCACATTTGTAATGTCAAAGATTTATAGAAAATACTTTTTTCATGTAATGTGGATTTTCTAACTTGATATCATTTGTTTATATCGATAGAGAAACTCGTCGAAAGAGTGTTTTACAATATTCACTTTTATTGATGTCGCTTTATCTGCGATAAATCAAACTATTTTTATTCTAGCATCCATCTATGCATTAATTGATCTAAAAAAAAGCCACACCAACACTAACAAAACTGATGCGTCTTCTTTTAACCATTCAATGATAATTTTTAAGAAAGTCAATTCTGCTCTTGTATTTCAAAGATTATTATTATTATCAAAGAAGTAATTAATTAATATTTTTTTTATCTACGAAGTACCTACATACATATGTATTTTCGTACTTCGGTAAAATCTCACGATACAACGATCAGTCTTATAAGCATTGTTTTCGTTTAGTTTTATATTTGTTAGCAAAAGTTTACAATTCAATTTGATTATGACAAAAGCTGTATTACATATAAAAAAATATCTTAAATCCATTCACTAACAAACATTCTGACACAATGAACAATGTAACGTTATATAAAATTTTCTGAAGTTGACTAATAAACGATTTGTACGTCGTGTGTAGTTTCAAATTGTTTAAATTCTATGACGATTATAAGACTTGCTTTCGTAGTATCTCATCATTTTATCGTTTTGCTGCTGTATACAGCTAGAAACTTGTGAAGGCACGCTTACAAAGGCACTTCTAATTCATCTCTACTATGTGTTTAAAATCTAAAATCTTATATTTGTGGAATTATTTACGAAGCCTTGAAATTGTCTAGTTAGTCGATGGAATGTTGATATCTGAAAGAACATATAATATCATTGTTAATTAAATTTATTTTTTAAAATAAATATGTATTTTAGTTTATATCTTTTTTGTTATTGCGTCACTACAATTACTTCAAATATATTATAGTCATAATAAGTTGGATTTGGAAAATATGGAACCAAATATATTTTTTTGTATTTCTTTCTACAGAAATGTATAATTTATGTTAGGGTAGGTAGTTGGCTCCCACAATAGGGCGCGCGTCTGGCGCCCCCAGAGGATATTGGCGGTCAGAGCCATACGCGGATACCGCACGGTGTCCACCGAGGCGGCCTGTGCCTTGGCCGGAACACCCCCGTGGGATTCCGGCGAGTGGCTGACTTCCGGGTGGAGAGCGGATTTCGCCCTCCGCCCGAAGACGTACGCGAGTGGCGCGAAGCCGCTCGCCGAGCTACGATGGTGAGATGGTCGTTGCGACTGGAGACTCCACGCGCTGGCTTCGCCGCCGTGGAGGCTCTCCAGCCGGTCATCGCCGAGTGGGCAGGGCGGCAGCACGGGACCCTTAACTTCCGGCTGACGCAGGTGCTTTCCGGGCACGGTTGCTTCGGAAAGTACCTGCACTCGCTCGCTAGGAGGGAACTGAGTCTCGCCTGCCACCACTGCGACTGCAGTGAGGACTCGGCCCAGCACACGCTGGCGGTCTGCCCCGCATGGGCGGCGCAGCGCCGGGCCCTCACTGCAGTCATCGGAGTGGAGGGCCCGGGAGGACGACCTCCACTCGGACCCGATCCGCCGCCGGCGAACCGGGCGGCGGAGGCGCGCCTATCACCGCCTCATGCCGCCCTGAGTGTGGCCGCGGGTGGACGGGGTGGGTTTCCCCTCCACCCGCATTAGTTTGGCCAGCCGCGAGGGGGCGGCGTCCGCGTGTGCCGGACGTCGCTTAAAGAGGATATCTTGGGACGGAGCCCTTACCAGGAGCGGGCCGGCGCTGGGAGGGGTTCAGAAGGCGATAACTACCTGGACCCCTCCGGAAAATAGAATCGCAAAGAGGGCACACCGTGTGGTTTTAGTCGGTTTGAGTCCGACACACCCCGCCCCGCCGAACAGAAAACTCCGGCGGGGTGACGGTCCGAGGGGATTTCCACACGTAAAAAAAAAAGGTAGTTGGCTCCCACGCGGGGGGGGGGGGGGGGGATTGGTCGTCTACTTATTGTAGATGGTCCGAGGTATGTCGGGGCACCAGGGACTTCCTTTCTAGGGTATACCTGGTTCCCCGGCTATTAGTGCCCGAGACGGCGTGCGGTTTTAGTCGGTTCTAGTCCGACATGCCACCGATAGGTGGTATCCGAGGGGACTTCCGCACGGAAGAAAAAAAAAATTAGTACAGAATGTAAATTATAATAAGTGTTTATATTAAGATAGTCGATTGCGTACGTGTGTAGCGTGTGTCGGTGTTACCTAGCGCGTGCGCTTGTCGTGCGGCACGTAGAGCTGCCCGCCGTGGCGCGCCCACTCGCGCTCGAACTCGTGCTCCAGCACCTCGGCGCCGCGCTTGCGCGTCAGCCCCGTCTCGTCCAGGCTCAGCTCGCACATCTGCATGTCGTCCAGCCCCGCCTGCAGCAGCACGGCCGCCTTGTCGGGGTGCAGCTCCATCTGCCGCGCCACGTACTGCCCGTCGAAGTGCGCGTACCACCAGCCGCGCCGCTCGCCCTCGCCCCCGCCCCCCGCACCGCCCCCGCCCGCCGCACCGCCCGCGCCCGCGCGCACGAACGGGATGCGGAAGTAGCGGTGCCGCGCGCCGAGTACGTCACGTGGCACCACCCCCGTCGTCATCCGCGGCGCCTTGGCTGATCACACACAAACGTTTACTTACTTAGTTTTAATTCAAAACTTCTAGATCTTTTATGCAAGAGGGAGCAAAAAAACAGAAGGAACCTAATGGAAAGCGACTACACCAGCGGTGAGAACGATGGTTTGTAAGCACCGTCGTCTACCCTACCGAGTTTCGTTAAATTTTCATGACCCCTTAGTTCTTCACAAGAAGGTACAACTAAACAAAACAAAGATGAAGTGATCCGTACTCTTCTACTTCTTCCTATTTTTATTATTTCGTATCCTATTTGAAAATTATTTTTACAAGACCACAATAAAAAAAATATTTAAGTTAAAATTTGAGCAACAAAATCAAAATGAATTTTATCGTACACAAGCGAGAAAATGAAAGTCGACTGATCAGAATTTAAAATATCTTTCATTATTAAAAACCTATATTATCATAAAATAACGTGAAATGTATTTCATTGAAAGCTAAATACAAACAAAATCGTAAAAAAAATTAGATCTAATACCTATGAAGTTGAAGATTTTTAAAACCAGCATTTTCAGATTTTATTATCTGTGGATTGGCGCGCAATTCGAAACTTAAAAAAGAACATGTTGTTTTAATTTAAAACTCAGTCATTTGTTTTAGATAGTGTTTTGATTTAGTGAAATTGTCGTATAAATATAAATTAACTTAAAATTAGTACAATTTTCAAATATGAGTTCCGTACGTGGATATACTGCGGCGCAAAAAACACGAAACATTACCGACGTGTACGGGCCCAACACTGCTAGCAACAACTATTATTGGTTCAATCATTTTAGATTTGTAAATTTTGGGTTGAAGAACGAGCCTCGCGATCGGCCAGTAACTATAGTCGACAACGCCGAATTGAACGCGATAGTGGAAGCGGATTCAACTCAATCTACGGCTGAGCTTGTTGAGGGCTTTGGAGTTAGTGACAAAGCAGCATTGAAGCACGTCGTTGCGTCAAATGGAAAAGATAAAAAAACGAGATAAGTGGGTGTCAAAAGAACTAAGCGACCGCCGGCGAGACTTCGGCGAATCGGCATAGGAACGAGGGAATTCTGAATGGAATTGTTACTTGCATTGAAAAGTGGATTCTTCACGACAACCGTAACCGTTCGTGTCAGTGGATGGACCCGGGTACAGTACCTAATCAGTGCGCTAAAAAAGACTACCCGTGGGAAGATGACTGTCTGGTGGACCAGTGCTGAACTTGAACATCACAGTTTCTTACCGAATGGTAAAACAGTGAAGGCAGATGTCTCTTGCCAAGAATTGCAAACAATGATGCAGAAGCTCATGGTTTAACAATCAAGACTTGTTAATAGCTCTTCCCCAATGCTGCTCCATGTCAACGCGCGTGCTCGCTCTTCAGGACAGGCCATCGCAAAGCTACAAGAGTTACAGCTGGAAGTTCTCCGTCACCCACCGTACTCACCGAACCCCAACAGATTTCTACTTTTTTTTCAAAACTTAGACAACTTCAACACCCGAGGCAGTACAAACCGCTTTCGGTAACTTCATCGCCTGCCGTACAGCAGACTTCTATAGTAAAGGGATTAACTATACGTCCATCTAAATAGCACCCATCTAAAAAGGGCCATCTAAATGGCTACATTGTAAAGATACTTTGCGCCAGTACTTTGATTAGATAAAATAAAGAAAATAACCAAATTTTTACATTTTAAAGATTTCATACAAATCTCCAACTTTATAGGTACCTAACATTTTATTTTACATATTTACCAGCATCCATAATAGACTGTGGCGCCCTCTCCTGATCAGCCATGGTGGTTTTGCGTGCGTTCTTTGCCTTCCACGCATGGTACACCTTCAATCGACGGTGGAACTCGTGACGGCACGCCTTTAAACAAGTGTTTTTTAACCATATTAGCATTTTTACATAAAGTACGTGTTAATTCCAAACTATGGCATAAGTCGTTTAATTTTAACCCATGGCATAAGTCTTCGTAGACAACGTTAGTTTAACTATGCAATAAAACACGTCTTACCTCCAATAACTCAATATCACATGAAGTATTGATAGTATCACGCAGTTCTGAATATTTCCATTTAGACAAATCGTACTTTTGGTTGCCTTGTTGTATAGCTTGCTGCATTCGCACGCGTTCAGACCTGCATAACACGTAGCAAAAACTCAGTGGACTTTGAATGTTTGTCAATGGCAGCTTGGTTAATTAACTACAAACTAATCAAAAATAAATACAGTTAGGTATATCACACTACAGTTAAAAAAGCTTTTTAAAACTAATTATAAGTATACAGATTCTTGATACTTGTCGGGAGCCAATTTAATTGATAATTCAAATTAACTTCAAACTTTTATGAGTTCAATATTTACTAGAATGTATCGAAAAATCTGTTTTCATTACTAACTGTAGTGTCTTGTCTTTACACTTCTTTTGCACTCTTCATTCATTTTTTCATTAAAATACGTATTTGGAACAATTGTGATTCGTTTTTTTTTTAATCTTTGTTTTGTACGCCCGTATACGTAAAACGTGAGATCAAAACAAAGTGATCACGCATAGTGAGCACGCGTGATTATAATGCGATCAACTTTATTCGTAATGCAAAATATTGTGTCTTAAAATAACGTAATTTTAAAGTTCTAAATCTTTTACAATCACAAACATTTAGTAAGATTCATAAAGTCTCATGTATTTTACAAAACATTAGGTCACGAAGTACTTTTAATTTAATTAAGTTTTCAAATAATCGCCGTCACCTGGTGCAGTTTGGCTTTAATTAGCTGTTTTAGATCAACGGTGATGAGATCATTATGTATTTCGCTCACTACATCATTATATTTGTTTTAAAAAAGAAATTCATGGCGGATTCAGATTCAAGCCCTTTCTACATGTTAAGCAGTATACGAAATGCTTGTGATTGTAAAAGACGTCGTCAAACGTTTGCAGTTATATTTCGTTGAATTTATGAAGTAAAATGTATAGATTCTACGGATCTACATAACGACATACATATATTTAGTAAAAATTAATTCAACAAACTAAGATACACAGTTACGTACTCAAATTCGTGCAAGAAATAAGAGATTAAGCAGATAGCTTTAATGTTAGCGGTTAGTACAACGTAGGAGCCTCTTTCAATAATATTTGATATCATTCTCCTCCTTTCTTTTGTAGGAGTAATTTATAAAAGAAATGGGTAAGTTAAAAGAAATACGTTAAAGCAAAATTTTGCACCTGCGTAGTAAATAAATAATACGTACATCCTGAGAAACACAGCCAAAGATTTTCTTTGTCATTTATTACAAAGAAAATTATTATTCAATATTTACATGTAATATCGTATAAAAAATATATTTGAAATCAAATTATTGAAAGAGGGTCCTCATTGGAGCGTGCAAAAGAGAAAACGTTAGTCTATCTCACTCAGTACCTGTTCAATTTATTCTCTCCATTGACTGACTCCATTGTAGGGAAACTGTGCGAACATATTACAATATTACTTATACGCTAGTTGTTGTCGAACACTCGTATACACTTACACGTTTTATTAACGTATAGTTATTTGTCACTACAAAAAGAATAGGCACTGCTTTATATAATATTTCTTCGAAATATAATATTTGCCATATTTAATTAATGAACGACCGAATGGCGTAGTGGTTTGTGTAACGGACTGCTATTCCAAAGGTCGCGGGTTCGATTCCCGCTCAAGTCAAAGATTTGTGTGCATGAACATTTAAGGTTTTATTTGGTCTGGGTGTTTCTATGTATAATATGTATGTATTTACAAAAAAAAAAGTATATATGTATTTATATCAGTTGTCTAGTACTCATAGTACAAGCCCTGCTTAGTTTGGGACTAGATGGCGTTGGGTGAATGTGGTACAATATTATTATTATTATTATATTATTATTATATTTCTCCTTTAAATTATAAGTAAAAGTAAGGTATCACCAACTTTGATGCAGCATGAATTGCAATAAACCGCACTCTGTATTTCTTAACTTTCCACCGTTATGAATCATCCGTGCATCCGTGCCGTTTTTACTAAACTAATAACGATGACTGAACGGAATAAAAAGTCCAAATGGGTTCATAAATGACGAAATTCTGTGGTAAAATCTATATTTAAAAAAAAAAATGCAACCGAATTGAAACCTTTTAGTCGGTACTTTTGAAGTAGGGGAAAACCACGTTGCACCAGGGACTTCCTTTCTAGGGTATACCTGGTTCCCCGGCTATTAGTACCCGAGACGGCGTGCAGTTTTAGTCGGTTCGATTCCGACATGCAGACATATCCGAGGGGATTTCGGCACGAAAAAAAAGGGGGAAACCACGCTATTTTAATAAATAATCAAAACAAAAAAATGTGTCCAGAGACCATGCTGCAGTTTTTTTTATGGAAGCGGAGGCAGACTCCCAGGCGGGTCACCTGATGGAAAGTGAATACCCATGAACGCCTGCAACTCAGGGGTCACAAACGCGTTGAAGGCCTATTCGGAAGGAGTAGGCTCTTTTCTTCAAGGTTTCAAGGTCATATCAGCAGTAATAGTACATATATTTTGTAGATATGCCGTTGTTAGAGATGCCGTTTCATCATTATGATCAAAGATTTGGAAAAGGATTTACACCGTGATGACATTAATTCAAGGAAGAATCGTAAAGAGCTTAAAGAGTGCACTAATTCTTTTTTGAGTTCATCGATTACTGAAACCTATGAATAGCATTAATAAAACGTGTAAACTCATTCGAGTATGTTGTTTAAAGCTATATACAGAAGAGCAAGAGTGGCAGGCCAAGTGTGACTGTCGTATATATTTATTTTACAGTGATTTTCTGCTTAAATTTAGCAAAAACTATGATCAATAAAAAAAACAAGAAATTTTGTTTTTCATAGAAAAAATTGTTTTAGGTAAGTAACTTTGGTGTAAAAACAATTTACTATTACTTAAAGTGTTTTTTGCCATCTATTAGCAAATATCCCCATTTACGTCTTTTTTCATATTCTCATTGATAAGCGTCTTTTTTTATTTAATATAATTTATTTACACCTAATATAACGACACACAACAACAAATAACATTCACAATGACGGATTTTAAGCGATTTGACAGATAAGTAAAAACAAACTTAAAAGTTTTAGTTCCCAATGAACGTAGTAACTTGGATTTGGTTTATTCTGGTTCTTCCTTTTTTTTTAAAGTAGAATATTTTAGAAAAGGTATTCGTTTGTTTAGAATATCATATGATATAAAAGTTGTGTGTTGAAATAAGCCGTTCGGATATAAAGTCAATATACCTGCGCAGTTGTGGCGGTGAGCCTTCCACGTGTCCATTTGTTTCTTTAGCCAGTCTCATGGCCATTTCGTGGTCTCGCCTCTCTTGTTCTAACCTAAAACATAAATGTAAGTTATAAGTTGAATATAGCTAAAATAGTCTAAAATTCATGGAACTGATTTGTGCGTTAGTTTTTAATGGTGAATTATTTATTAGCTTCACAAGATTGTAAAGAGTAAGTTCGAAAGACCAGATATACGTGATCGTTAAAATTATATCCAACGTTGAGTCTATTCTTCGTTATAGTAATGACTTGTGAATGACATATTATATTTAAATTTTAGTATAGTTATAGTAGTTTAAGGAGTAATTTTATAGAACCTTTAAATTAAGAGGTAGTGGACGAGCTATGGTGCAATGTGTACTTTATCAAATTTTAATTATCTATTACTTTTAGAAGATCCCCAACAGTAGGTTCGATGGACCAAAAGAGTACTCGGTCCTTCGAACCGTCAATCGATAACGATCGACTGTAGACAAAGTCGTTTTGCTTTTTGAAGTAATTACATGTTTGTTAGTTAAGCTCTAATTCTTCGATGAATTTATAAAATATTCATATTCGTCTTAGAGGGTACAAAAAAAGAATCTTCGATTCAAAAAAATCCAATTTCCTCTCGATGTGAAATGCAGAGTAAAGCGACAGGAGTACTTCTCCTCGAGGAGCACCAAGGGAACATGGGGGTTCTGACACAGGAGGGGGTCATCTACCCGCCGTAGATGCCCCGGGGTACGTCGGGGTACCAGGGATTTCTTTTCTAGGGTACACCTGGTTCCCCGGCTGCCGGTTTTCAGTCGGTTCGAGTCCGACATAGCCACCGGTAGGTGGTATCCGAGGGGATTTCGGCACGGAAAAAAGAAAAGAGTTTAGTTTTTTAGAGTACCTCTCCCTGTTGTCCTGGTCGAGCTTGGCGGCGTGGTCCATCTGCAGCTGCAGCGCCCTGGCGGCGTGTCGGTCGGCCTCCTCCCGGCGCGCGCGCTCCGCCTCCTCCGCCTTGCGCCGCGCCTCCATCTCCGCCTTCCTGCACCGCACACACACACACACACCGCGTTACTTCACACACACCAGGTACTCAACACTGATACTTCCTTCACATACTAATTTACGACATGCTAAACGGCTTAATGCTTTTTATAACTTATATGAATTTCAAACTAACGGACTGCAACTGATATGAACCGAAATCGAATTCTGCTTTATTAGCACTAATTGAATATAACACTGACCTGAAGAAAATAGTTATTAAAAGTCTTTTTTTGTCATTTCGAAGTATCCAAACTAAACATAACCTTTGTAGTGGATCTCAGAGCACATCAATAAATACAAGTACTAAAAGGAGATGATGACTCATCTAATTATCCGATATTTTTTTTTCTTTTACTGATAATCAGAATAAACTTAATTGTGAGGGTAGACAAAAAGTTAAGTCAAAACTTTTTAAAACACAGAATCGGTGGTCAGTTGTTAGACTATGTTAAATATTTATTTTTGTAAATTAAATTCGGTTCTAGCCATACAAATTGGGTCCACAGGATCAGCGCAATCCAAGGAAATTAACCGAAAATTTTTTAACGTTTTTTTCGGGTCGGCTTGTTTTTAATTAGACGAACATATTTCCAAGATAGCTATATTAGATAGATAAGATAAGCTAAGATTCAGCTTGTTTTTAGATCAATGCTCCATATATTTTTGCAAAAATATTCGAAACCGAAAGAAAAAGTGAGTAGTATTTTAATTAACAAGTCATGCTTACAGCCTGCGGTGTTCCTCTTCCTGTTTTTGAATTTCCATTTCACGTTTCTTGGCTTCCTCGGCTGCTCGCATCTCCGCCTCGATCTTACGTAGACGCTCTTGCTCATCTCTGTAAACGTTTCAATTATTATTATAAAATTTAGACATGTCGATAAATAAATGACCGAGGCTGAAAAACACATATGCTTTAGCGTCGTAATGAAATCTATAATAGGTAGGATCTCTAATTTAATATGTTAATGTTTTATAAACCCTCAGTGGCACTTCAAATTAAGACAATCGTAGATAAAGTCAAAACAGTCTTCGCTGATGTTATCATATTCGAAGAGGAAGCGAAGCGCATGTGGTTGAGATTTCACTAAATCATCCAGAACAAAGGCGAAGACAAAATCGCCCATCATTGAGCTTCCATTGAATTCCATTGATCGTTTAACTTTGAAGAAGAAAAAAAATGTTAATAATATTGAAGCAATAGAATATATTCATAGGAAAACTTTTCCTCTACAGTTATTTGATACATAAATTTATGGATCACGAAAAGAACGGTTAAAACGATATTGGTTTTTAAAAATATAACATTTAGCAAACCTGTTCTTTTGGTCAATCATAGCCTTCTGTAGAGCCACCATTTGCAATTCGACATCCTTCGTTAGTTTTGAGAACAGTTGGTCGATTTCACTGCGAGACATCTTTTCGTTTGCCTGTAATAATATTTAAGTATTATCGTCTATGTTATCTGTTTATTTAGTGAAAAGGGACGGAAGTATGTAACAGGAAGCGTTCGGTATGTGATTTTTTTATATTGGCTTAGTGGTTAAACGAGCGGACGGGTCAATTTAGGCAGGCATACTGTGAGTTTATTTAAAATAAAGTCAATCGTCACGGTGACCGCGTTCGGCCTTGCGATTGACACGCATTAAACTCTTCACCAATCGCAAGGCCGAGCCAGCCCGGCCCTCTGATGGTAAACGACTACCGCCGCCCACGGAATGTCAAGAGTCACAAGTGCATAACCGAGCTCCCCCCTAACTTTATGTGGAGGCTGCTATAAGGCTCGCCTGCTTTTTTAATATCTTTATTCCATAACTAAAATTAAAAAAATATTTGAAATCGTCTTAGACTCAGTAACAAATCAACACACACAATAGCAACAATCTGTTCAAATATTTAGCAAAAACAAGTTAATACATTATTTATGAATATATGCCTGTAACGATCTACAACCGCCCGTTTCCAAGGCTTTGAGCCTTATGGGAAGAAAGGGCAAATAAAATCTCACCGAAAAATTTCACTGTTTTGTTTGTATAGTGATACTCACTTTAATGTTAACACAAGCATTTTTGATAGAATTCCTCAAGTCCTCAATATTCTTCTGAGCGCTGTCCTTCTCCTTCTTGAGCTGCGAGGTGACAGTCTCCATGTCTTTGAGGTTGTGTTGCAGCGCGTTGATCTTGGCGAGCCCGCGTATCCGCGGCCGATGCTTGCGTCGGACCAGGTACCCTCGGATGTTCTTTTGCAAGAGAATCAGGCACTTGCGACGGTATTCGATTTTGTTCTTTACTGTATAACAAATAAGAATTATTTCGTAATAACTAGTTCTCATAAATAGAGAATTATCTATAAAAAAAATGTGTGTGTTCCAGCTCCGACGCATGACTGGAGTTTACTCAATAAGAACTATTCAGCTGCACACAAGTATACAAGTTTTACACACACATGTGAAAGGTGGGGTCGATAGGTTGCGCACAAAAAACGTAACGAGGTCATTCGATCGCTAAATTTTACTCTTCATATTTATTTCATGCCGGGCGCCTTATATGACAATCGATTATTAAGAAGTAATCTCCAATACTAGTTATGGTCTTTATTTTATTAAATCTTTTGACGGACCAGTGGTTAGTGGTCAGTGATTCAGACCTCTGAGCCATACTGGATTCGATTCTCATGTGTGGATGGAATCGAATCCATTATGGCTCAGCGGTTTTATTAATAATAATTGTGATGATTTTTGTATAACTTATCTATGTGTGTATTCAGTATTAAATAAATAATGTTTGATTTCTAACAGTTTTCAATTCTCTTGAACCTTTTGCGCTGCAGTAGTAAATTCGACTGTAACGTTGAGAGTCGCAAGTTCGATTCCCGTCCCGCGCATACTTTTTTATGTAAGAATATATATATTATCTATTTGCATAGCATTGTCTGTTTGTACGTATAATTTATAGGTGTTTACGATAAAAAGCTATGCATTTATTTTATGATTTTCAGTGTTCTGCAGACCATACTAATGGCTTAACTTGGGTTAGATAGTGACGTGTACTATGTCCCAGAATATAATTATTACTTAATAACATTCATCAGCCGTATCAGTGGAGATTCCTTGACTTAATTTTTTTTATGGAAGAGGGACAAACGGGAGACGGTTCACCTGATGGAAAGCGAGTACCGCCGCCCATGAACGTCTGCAACTCGGGAGTCATCAAGCGCGTTACCGGCCTTTGAGGAAGGAGTACGCTCTTAAAAGTAAAGTAAGCTCACTCTAGTTTACATCTACTTACATTTAATAATAGAGAGTACAGCGAATATCGACTTCCTCCACCTGGACTTGACGAGCCACGACAGCACGGCGTCCACTATGGCCTTGAGGTTCTCCGGGTCAGACTTCATCATCGTGTCGAACTCGGAGTACTTGCCCGGCCTGAAGAACACGCGGGTCACTCCAAACTTGTAGTCTTTTTCTGATAGACCGAGACTGTGGACCATTGCCTGTTGAAGGTAGATAATAATAATAAATATCTAATACAAAACGCCATCTAGTTTCAGATTAAGCAGAGCTTGTATGTTGTAATTGTTGAATGCCATTGAAAACAGAAGAGGCAAAATGGTTGGCCACTTGATAAGATACGATAACTTAATCAGAATAATACTGAAAGAAAAAATAGAAGGCAAGAGAAAACGAGGACGGCCTAGATCAACATACATACAGCAAGTGAAGGAGAAAGTGGGAATCATGGCCTATCAAGAGGTGAAACAGATCGTAGTAAATAGAGGTTAGTGGCGATTGAACCGACAAGGGCTAGGCTCTTGAATAGGGAATATGCACGTGACACCAAAATGGACAAAATATTTTTATTTGTAATTTTTATTGCTAAAAAAAGATACCCATACAATTATTTTTGAAATTTATTATAATTTAATAGTGAAATTTAATCATCAAAAATTGGCTTTTTTAAGATTCCCTCGCAAATTTCTAAAACGCAACGCTATTGGTTGAATAAAACGGGACGTCAACCTACACTGTCAAGAGTGTCAACAAGTTGTGTTTATTTGTAATATTTGGTTTCTGGTGATTATTTGTTTCATTTTAAGTTAATAACTAATACGTTTTCAGTGTTAAATTATTAAATTCCCGTGTAGAAAGACTCAACACAATGACTGAATATACTTTGTCAGGTGCAGTTTTGATATTATTTTGGCACAAAGGAACGGCACAATATTTATAATAAGTTTTTATTGGCTTTTCCATGGTAATAAGCTAATTTTTATCACTCACTTTTTTAACTTTCACAAACTTTGTGAACTTCACTCCGTTGTTGACATCGAATTCGTCTGAAAGTGTAGTATGACGTCACAAAAAAAGCGCGCTAAAATGGACGTGTTCAAATTGCTCCAAAATGATAGTGATATTAATAAATTTTTTTTTGCTTAACGGTTTATATTTCGGATGTGTTATATTTATTTTTGGTAATGTAATAACGAGTAGAATCGTTTAAAAAAATAAAAAAATACATGCATATTCCCTATTGGGTAAGAGAAGTATAGAAAACAATTGAAATATATAATTATATAAAGTTTTCGTCTATGATATATTCGATCCGTAGACCTGTATCTGTAATCACTTAAATGTATAAAGTGTTTATCGATTAGTTTCGTCCGTTCCGTTTTAGGTATTTATTTTCTTTTTGATTCGAGTCGAATCCGACTATCGCAAAGTAATCTGGTAAATTTATGAATTTTCATGTTTTGGATCAAACTATATAATATCTTTTAAAAATAAAAAATAAAACTCATCTTAATTAGAATGAGTGTTTTTTAATTGTTCTATTTACAATAGCAATCTATGGGATATATAGAAAAAAAAATGATAAAATTAGGAGGGTAAAAGCATAGAGTGGTCGTAGTTACCTCACAGAAGGTCTTGGGCGCGAGCGCCCTCAGCTTGGGCGGGAGGAAGGAGCTGTACATGGCGTGCAGGTCGTGGAAGGGGGCGCGGGAGGGGTAGCCGTGCTCCATGAGCTCCAGCACCGCCGCCGTGCCGCTGCACTGCAGCTGCGTCAGCACCAGCCCCCCCTCCGTCTCGCGACCCACCATGCGCGAGTTGGGCTTGATGCACCGCACGAAGTTCGTGCCCTGCGGATATCGTGTGTTGCGTGACTCGGTAACACGACTAATTCTAATATATACCACGACGCCAACGACTAACTAAATCTCTGCAGCTGAATATTTTTCAATAAATTATACTCTAAAAATATGAGATCGTAAAAGGAACCGATAAATAGCAGCCCTCTAAACGAGACCGTGTGGCCTAATGGATAAGGCGTCGGACTTCGGATCCGAAGATTGCAGGTTCGAGTCCTGTCACGGTCGAAACGTGCTTTTTGTTATCTAGTTTTCGAACTAGAATTTACTTGTATTTAGTACATCGTCATTTTCATATTGATAAAAAAGCACTGCATTTAATGAAAATTTTGTTTTTCTGTCAAAATAGTACAATAGGTATTATTTTAACGGAATAAAAATCAAATATTGGGACTGTTTTTTAGAAGAATCTTCTTTCCGTTCTAACTAATAGTCTAATTCCTTTGATATCGGAAACTTCAATATTACAAAAAATTAAACAATATTTATGCCATATTTAAGAGTAAGCCCTGTGTGTACTCACAATTGTCTCTATTATTCTGCTAAAAATAATACTCTAAGAGTATTGTGCCCAAACCTGTTAAAAAAAACTAGAGTAATATGCCTTTTTTATATATATTTATAGTAAATTTACCTTTAAAAAAATATAACTTAAACAGACAACTTACATTCTCTTTCAATTTATCCATGAGCTGAGACAACTGACTTTGAAACTTAGCACCAACAGATATAAAGTTGAGTTTCCCTTTAGCATTGTTATTGTCGGTTGTTTGGAACAGTTGTTGCACTAGGGCGCTACGCGACTCTTGAACTAGAAATTCTAAAGAGGCGTGCAATGCATCGTTGTTCTTTTCTATGAATTGGTTCTGTAAAAGAAACGGATTTTTTATTTTTCAAAAGACAAGTCTTACACTAGAAATATATCCTGTGTCGCGTGGGAGTTTACAAGCATTCATGATACGGCCCAAAAGAACACCCAGAGACTCAGAACAACAATTAGTGCAATATACAAAGTGTAGGATGGGGATCGAACCCACAACAGTAAGAAGTGACGTGGCGACCGTTTAAACCACTACGCCATCAGTGCAGTCATTAATGAATATATTAAGTGAGTGAGAGGTATGGCTAAGGAAGAGATTTAGTAAGAATTTTTTTTGAAACTTTTTTTCTCCTAAACCTATTGAGTGGGGTACTAAATAAAAAAGTTTTGATAGGTGAATACAGAAATGTTATATGTTCAGCAGTAATAGTTAGTATTTTTAACAGAGTCGGGTTTGTAACTTTTTATTTACCGTATTATAGCATACAGCGCCGGCGAAATGTCGTAGGAGAAAGCCTTCATCGTCACGTAGTGTACGGTGAGCTTTTAGTCGAGATGAGCGAGGTACTTGCAGTCTGGAAATATACGTCACTTATCTATACATCACATCAACAGCCTGTAATAGTCCACTGCTGTACATAAGCCTCTCCTTAGAAAGGAGGTTTGGCCTACCATACCACGCTGGCCAGACGGGTGTACAGGGTTTGTATCCAGCTGTTCCCGGATCCCTCCTGTTACAGGCGCAGAGTGGCACACCGTGTGGTTGTAGTCGGTCCGAGTCCGACACACCACCCCGCCGCAAACCCCGGAGGGGTGACGGTCCGAGGGGATTTCCACACGTTAAAAAAAAAAAGGGGTTTCTATCAAGTTTTCCTTCTTTTTGCAGTGCTGGTGTCCTGCGTTGTTTTGTGCCCTTAGTCGGCTCTTACGAAAGTAAAGGATGAATTGCGTATTCTTAATCCGTCAATATACGGACACTTATCTATACTTAATATCTATATATCTATACTTAAATAGGCAAAGTACATTATTTTCTTCTTAGTTTCTCTTGTGACCTCTTTTTAACCCCCGACGCAAAAAGAGGGGTTCGTAGCTCCTAAGCGAAAGGACCGATTTGGATGAGGTTTTTTGTTAGAAAGCTAACATAATCGAGATGATCTTAGTTATAATTTGTGAAGATCATCAGCATATTTCTTAGTTGAGGGGAGATCCTTTCATGAACTTATTAACTGGGGAGAGCCATGCTTCGGCACGAATGGGCCGGCTCGACCGGAGTGATACCACGGGCTCACAGAATACCGGTATTCTTTCGTTGCCTTTCACTAACTGAGTGAGGTTACCGGAGTCCAAATCCCCCCTCACGCTGACTGGAGCTGGAGCGGCAACGCACTTGTGACTTTTGAGTTGCAGGTGTCCATGGGCGGCGGTAGTTGCTTACCATCAGGTGACACGTCTGCTCGTTTGCCCCCTTATACCATAATTTTTTTTTTTTTTTTAACTTCGACATTAAGGTTTTTTTTCTTAACAATAATTTAGTTAACTACGTTCGATTTTCTCTCCATTCATTACTTACCTGTTATTGTTAGCACCGAGTTGTTTGTGTACGGAATGTGTGAAGTGTCCAAACTCAGGTTTAGGCAGTTTTGATTCTTCGTCCAATAAATGGAATATGCCATGGTTCTTGCTCTCAATTAAATCTGCGAATATTTAGTGCTAATTAATTCCCTTAAAATACAAGATTGTTTTAAGATTAAAAACCCGTCTAATGTGGACGTCAGACAGTATCTATCAGAACATTTACATGTAATAATGACATAAGAATTAATATCTATTAATGTTACCTACATCGAAATGAGTTAATATAAGTAAGATATAAGTATCTATTGTTCTAAAAAATGTATATTATTTATCATAGTAACTATGTATAGTCTATAAAATAAAAAATAATGGTCTTTTCTGAAAACACAAAAAACAGTTGAACCAATTATCGATATCAAATGTTATTATTTAAACGAGAAACAAATATTTCATTAGCATATTTTTACCCTACAAATTGAATTTCTAAATAGGTCATACTAGAATGTAAAACGTTTTCGTCCAATAAAGTCCTAATAATCCGACTAGAGTCGACTTCTAAAGTCGACTCTAGTCGGATTATTATATAAGTAGTACATTTGACGATCACACAAAATACACTAAATGGACTTAAACAACTATAATTCGGCCCGACTGCATTTTAGTATCTAACATTTCCCACTTTTCTTTCCATTTTTTTTAAAATTGGCTGTGCGTCAAGTGAATGATTCAGCGTCCCCCAATTTTCAGAATGGTCATAAAAGACTTGCTGGACAGGAACCGGTGGAGCAAGATCATCTACTCCAGATACAACCCTGATGTTGACCCCGGTCCTCAGACAGAGCCACCGATCCTAGAGAGCCTTGTATCAACAGCATACACACCTATACAGTCTTGGTTATCGACGAATCTGATTTCAGGCACGTTAAGCCCCTCGCGCTTGTAAAGTTCCTGTTCGTTTTTCAAGATACGCTCGTTGAAAAACTGCTGAAGCTTCTCATTGCAGTAGTTGATGCAGAATTGCTCGAAGCTGTTCATTTGGAAATATTCTGTGGATCAATTTTACCAGTTAGTTATATGATGAGTATATTCAGAGTTTACAAACAATAGCATAAGTACCGTAAACATGACACAGACTGAGCTGATTGTTACTGTTTGTTGAAAATTAGAGATCGTTTGGTGTCTAAATTGTGTTTTGTTTAATTATATATTGGAAAATATAAATGTCCAGTCCTTGTAGATTTTTGTAACATGACAGGTCAAATACCGAACCATTTTACATAGTTTTTAACTTTGTAGCACATAGTTTATTGCATTATCAGAAATTATAAGGTAAATTACCAAATCCAGCGATATCCAAGACACCGATATAATAAGAGGAGGCTTGGAAGGGAATGCTGCTGTTGATGCGATGTACGATGTAGTCGAACAGTCGGCTGTACACGGCCTTGGCCAGCGCGTCACGGGCGTTGTTCGCTTCGTAGGTTTTCAAGGGGACCCTGGAACAGTCAGTAGTTTTTAAAGTCAAATTTTAAACATTTAAAGAGAGAATTCGGTCGGTCAATTTAATAGTCAGTGTCCGATTGTTAACAATATAAATTAAGTTATAATGATAAATTGTAATAAGTTAGCTGTGAACGGCACTGTATCTGTTGTCGCTGCGCTCGATAGATGGCGTGAGGGTTGATTTAAATCGCGATATAGTTTCGTTCACACAGCTGTATTTTGGGTTGATTTTTGTAGTCAGTATGATTGTAGTATAAGCTTAGATTTATTTGCATTTTGTCAAAAAAGTGAAATGGAGGAATTATACGCTTTACAATAAAAGGGTCTTTAATAAAATCTGCCCCTCCTGGCTCTCTAGAAGTGAGTTTAATAGGAAGGTGAGGGCACGGGTGCTCACATGATGGCCGTCCCCTTGGCGCCGCCGCGGGAGCTCTGCATGAGGCGCGACACGAGCGCCATGCGCAGCTCGGGCGCGTCCACGCCCAGCAGGCGCCCCGCCGTGGCCAGCGCCGGCTCCGAGCTGGGCGTCACGCGGCAGCCCCCCCGCGGGCCCGTGTCTTCCTCGAACTCCACGTTCCCGAGGTGCAGGACGGCGGCTACCACCGAGTACACCGATTTCTTCTCCTCCTCGGTTAAACCGACACGAGATAACGCCTAAAATAATAAAAAAAGGTTTGTACTTATTTCATAATACTTTGTTGATGTGTCAAATCTTTATTCTCACTTTCACACACTTTGTGGGAGTAATTTCATTAAAAGGGACGGAAGTGTGTAACAGCTAGCCGAAGAACCGTTTGCTATTTGAGACCGCTGTAAGGTTAGCTCATTTTTTTATTATATATTCCTTTTTCCATCTAAGTAACAAACTAAGATGGATTTCACTAACACTCACTATACCTGACACTTGTTATGTATGTGATATACACTTGTTATATACCATGATAAAAGCAGGTTGTCAGGCATAATTCTTAAGAATTTATCAGTTGTTAGTTTAGACCGCAGCTTTGTTCGTATAAATTATTTTTTACCTAAAGTGATGAGAGAGTTCTTTTGTACATTTGACAATGTGTTTGCAAAATTTCTATGCCCAGCAATGGACTGTTAATGTGATTTGTGATCATACAAAATTTCATAATGTTCGGTTCAGGCATGTAAACATAACAAATAAACTTACTTATGGATTTTAATTATTAGTGTTGATTACTTTATCATGATTTAACACCCAGACGGAGTTATATAGAATATAAAAAGTGAACAATTCATATCTTGATTTATTAAGTTATGACAGAATAATGAACACACATAAAATATATTGAGTCCATAGTAAAATAATATTATATCCATACAACCAAGTCCTAACATTTATATGTCTAATCAGTACAATAAATTTAACATAATTATAATAACTATCAACATGCATTTATTGCACAATAGTCACGTATTTTAAATGAACAAAATATGTATAGACTCTGCGGAGAAGAATTATCATAATTATCATCATCATCATCATCATCATCATCATCATCAACAACCTTTAACAGTACCACAACCTACTATACCACGCTGGCCAGAAGGGTTGGTATAGGGTTTGTGTCACGTTTCCTTCTCTTTGCAGTGATGTTGTCCTGTTTAGTTTGCTCTTACGACACCCACGGGATTAATAGGCGTGGTTACACTCTGTATTCTTAATAAATTAATATGTCACCACTGGGATGAACTTTTCATATTATTATAAATTACAATTAAAAACGTGACTAGCCAGAGAAGGTAGCATGAGAAATGAGCTCTGCCGTCGTGTTGGGTCCTCCTTAACTGGAGGAGTACATATTTGCAGACTTAACACCTCCAACCTTATAAACTTGAGTTAGTTTAGTTGTCTGTCTAGTTGTTTCTGAAAAAGCGTTCAGCGAGTGTGTCATTTATTTGTGTGTTTAAATTTTCATATAGGTACACAAATGTAAAATCTTTATGAATACACTAACTAAACTACGTTGATTGTACTTAGCTTTTATTCGCAATAAATGTGATTACTAGGGGACCTATCAAATACCTGGTTTAATCTTCCAAAGTCTTCGACATCATCCAGTATGGGGTCCCTGAGTCCTCCCTTAGCCTTTTGTTGCGGAGTCATGCTGTTGGGGCCGATTTTCTTCTCCGAGGCGGCCGTCGTGAAGTACTGAGTGCAGCCGTTCTTTAGATACTGTTAAAAGGTTTTTTATTAGTGTTTATTTTAGAAAAAAAAAACAACTGTTTACGGTTCTTGGATGTAATGCTGGCTGAATGTAATGTTACGTATAAGGCTGGCAGCAAACTTTTATGAGATTAGTATGAAAGTTTTAGTATAGTTTATCTAAAGTACTTGAATGAGTTTGCAGTAAAATACACAAAACGCTTTTGATATATTGTTTATAAATGAACAGTCAACTGAATTGTTGTTTAATTAACGTAATTATGAATGCACTCGATTTAAAAATATGATATTTTATCTTTACCAGTTATTTACTTTTACTTAATAAGTTAAGCAATAAAATATGGGTATTTTTTATTATACTAATGTCACCTGAGTAAATCAACACAAATGTACAAATTACGAAGTCGGTCAATAAAATATGCAGGTAGGTACTTACTGCAAACTGAAAGATACATTGCAACATTGGAGCAGAAATGTGTTCAGTTCTTTATTAGGAAGGCCAATTCTCGTAATACAAGTTCGGTCACAATCATTTTCCGATCAACTATCGATCTCACACCTGTCATAATAGATATTTTCGTAGTAAAAAAGTCAAGCATTACTAGAAGTCTTATACAATGTCCGTGTGGTGACGGATTAAGAATACAGTGTCACCACCCCTATTCATTCCGTGGGTGTTGTAAGAGCCGACTAAGGGAAAAAACTACGCAGAACAACAGCACTGCAGAGAGAAGAAAAACTTGACATAAACCCTATACCAACCCGTCTGGCCAGCGTGGTATAGTAGGCCAAAACCTTTCTAAGGAGAGGCTAATGTGCAGCAGTGGACTGTTAAAAGCTGTTGATGTGATGATTACTAGAAGTAGCAGATTCTTTATTCAATTTTCGGTTACAATACGATATAATCACATTTCAGTCAATGTTGAATGTTTAATACTTTACTACTAACATACCTTTTATGACAGTTGTGAGATCGAAAGTGGATCGGAACTGAATTGAGACCGAACTTTTATTACGAGAATTAACCTTCAGATTGTTACACTATTACTCCTAGGTTATAAAACTCACCAAATAGTCATCGGGCTTCTTAATTTCCAACGCAGTCCTTAACTCTTGAGGGGCTCCGGCACAGAGCAAATAAAACACATGGTAATTCCTCTCTTCTGCGCTCTGAGTGCATATTCTGGACTTTTCCAGAAGATAATGGGAAATAAAGCCGCCCACCACCTGGTACTTGTTGTTAAAGTGCACTTCCATGAACTTGCCGAAACGGGAGCTGTTGTTGTTGCGAGTTGTTTTAGCGTTACCGAAGGCTTCCAGAATTGGATTGGCTGTTAAAAGATATGTAAATAAATGGGATAAATAAAACGGTCTTGTAGATACATGGTATATTTGAAAGAGAAAATTTTCAGTGCTAAAGAATCAATATTCGTTGACTTCCTTAATTTCCTACGTTATTTCACAATGAACGCGTTATGTAGAATATAAAGGCTGAACGGCCAAATTGCAAAAAGATATGATAAAATATGTTTAAAAAGTTAATAAAGCGTTGAATTCATCTTCAGGACGAATAATACAGCTTCAAATCAAGATTAATAATAAGACAAATTTAGTGATTTAAAAAAAAAAAATTATAGCCTCTACAAACATTTGACTTGAATATATTTACGCCAACATTGCTTTTAAAAAACATACTACTACCAAACTACTTTAGAAGACGTCTGTTGCAGCAGAAACTTAACCAGTTGAGTTTAAGTCAGGTTTCTATCTAAAGTGTTCAGAAACTGGTGGCTTCAATCTTATTATATGCACCGAGAATCACCAAAACAGACAGTGGTATCAGAAGAGAACGAACCTTACTCCCTCACATCATTTCTGCTTTTGCAATGCAGTCGATGGTACAATAACCGTAAATGATAACTCACCGTCCAAAATCTTCTGTTCGACGGGCCCGGCACTTTTAGCCCACAGATCACATAGATACTTGAGAATGTATTTAGTTGACTCTGTCTTGCCTGCACCGGATTCTCCAGAGACGATGATCGATTGGGATTGCTTCAGAGATTTCATATCGCGGAAGGCTTTATCAGCTGGAATGTTATAGAAAATTATTACAATAATTTGTTTTTGGCCAGCTGGCACTTGTTTTTGTTTTAGTTTAAAAAAAACTGAATTTTACCATTCTGTATCTTTCGCCTGACGTCGCGACGGCTATAGCCAAATTCCTCTTTCATTTTGCGATGCATTTAGTATTCATGAATTATCTCCGATATTTATGGATAGATTACGTATTACGAAGCATTGGACATTTTCAAAAAATTATGATATCTGATATATTACACTTCATCTGATTGTCACTTCTTCATACTTATTCTGCAATCTGTGTTAGTTACTTTGGGCCTTTACCGGATGAAAGAAGCTTGGCGACTTTAAATTTATGGACAAAACCCATTGTCATGGTTCACTATCTGTCGTAAGCGGTAGGACGTTGGTCGAAGACCTTTGTTTTTAAGCATTGTGGCAAGAGTGACAAGAAAACTTAACTAAGTTTGCGAAGTACTGTCTATCCGAAGTCAATGGACGTCACGATATTATTATAACAAATTAACTTAAAGCAAGATGTTTGTGTCAAATGTGTAATGTGTATTTGTCAACTTGGTTCCGACATAAAATGATAAACAAACCGTTAAGCTTACTTTGTTCACTAAACAGGAAAATTAAAATTTCCTAGATGCGTCTCTTAGGATCGAACAAGGAAAAGTCCCTTAGATTCATAAATCTAAGTATGATTCATCTCCTTTTACGAGACGTTTATCTTTTGCACTGTTAGTGACGTAATGGGAAAAATATCATTTTTGTGAATGTGTTGGTTGTTTTAATCAGCTTAAGTAGCTTCTCTTTGAATTATATAAATTAATTATGTAAACAAATCTTGGAAGCCCCTTATAAACTACTTATAATTGTCACATCTAAAAATAAACTTTCTATGTTTACAAGTAGCTTGGATGACAGTACTATATTTTGGCACCTTGGAGCTGATTTGATGATTGGTTCAGAAGGATAGCGGATTTCTTTAGTGGCCATAGTAAAACCCTCGAATTTGGGCTCACATGACTCATTTTGACGAGTCTTACAGATTGGACACAGTGAGAAAGGTCCGATGATGCAGCTAGATTAATAGTAGAAGATGTAGAGGTAGAAATAAAGTTTTTATAATTTTATTGTAGGTCCATATTAATGCTGTTTTTTTTTTTTCTCAACTGTGATGTATTATAAATGGAAATTGAAAGTATGCTTAATGGTGCTGGAAATCCTGATCAAAAATTTAAAGAACTTAGAAGTAAGAAAGTGTAATTTAGTACGTAAATCAGCAAGGTGGCAAGATGACTAATTAAAGATACCTATCTCACGTTGACAGAGGATTCAGATAGCATCTAACAGGTGTTCTTCAAAAAAAATGAATAAGGCCCATGTCTCGATATAGACTGTTATAATATAAATGATGATACCCGATTTTAGCTTGACTGAACAATAATAATGATTAACATACCAAGAGCAAAAACGTGTGGCGGTAGTTCTCCCAACGATTTTCCTTGGTAATTCTTGATGGTGGCTGATGAGTACATGTCTTTTATATCTTCATAAGGGTTCACGGCTAGCAGGATATTCGCAACGTATGTCTGTAAGGACAAGTGAAAAGTTTTAATAATATTATCAGTACGTACGACATACTATAAAAAGAAATTTGTAAATTATTTTTCGCGTGAAAAACAAAAATAGTGCGTGAATAGATTTTGTTAATCAATTCACTATCCCTCAAAAACATTACTTCAGTAACTTAGAAAGGAAATCCATGGTACCCACCTCGACGGATCCCGGGCCATCTACGGCTTACATATTTACTTTCCTTACGTTAAGGGAAAAAACACTGTGTAAGGATTAATACGTCTACACCGAATATTTGATTTTAATATTTCTGGATTTTGTTAGGACCTGCATCTTGAAAAACCACATTAGCCTGCGTACGGAACACAGTTAAATAAAAAACTGCTTTATTTAAGATTTCTGCTTATATTGTATTCCACATGAATATTTATAAAAACAAGGATAGAAGTTAACTGAATATCCTTTTCACCTATCTTTTTATTTTAAAGTAAGACCTTTTGTTACAATTTCGTCTCAAACGTTAGATCCAAACTCCATACTTAGCTGGCCCACCTATGACTAGTGGGATAGAAGAATACTTGACTTAGTACTGATGGCATTCTCGAAGGATCTTGTTGTAAACAGCATATCTGAATCTTGAGTCCTCAATAACTCAAGGTAAAAACCATAAGACTACGCCACATGATACGGGCGACAATGGTTCGAGTTCGTTACGATCGATACCAAACCATTGAAATTGTTAAGTACACACGACAGCGTAGGTACATTATAAAATAATAATACTCAAGGTGAAAACACTGAAAACAAACTTAGTCATGAGTCAGTTACTTACGTAGATTTTGTTCTTTTTGTATCGCGTGAGAATGTTGTTCAGTAGTGTGGCTTCGTTCAGAAACATTAGTTCACCTGGAAGGTAAAATATTTATAAGTCAAACATTTTGTTTATCAAATTCGGAAACACCTAGCGGAAATTAGCTTATTGATAAATGGTCTTTTCTGCATTAGAGTTTGAAGGACAAATATTGTGTGATGACCACGATCATTTGTTCTGTGTCCGGGTGTAATTAATCTATTATATGTGTGTATTTAAAAATATATAAGTATGTTTATCAGGAGTCTGGTTACCATAGCACAGGCTCTGCCTAGTTTGGGATCAGACGGCCGTGTACGAGATGTGTGAAGTATATTTTTATATAATTAACCGGATCACATAATAAGTATGTCGTATCTTTGAATTTCCAAACGTTTCGATGTAGTTGGTCCTTGGTCCAACCATGTTCGCAGGTTGATGACATATATTCTTATTAAATATATCAACATAAACGCGGTAATTATTTAATTATGTGTATCATGGAGTGCCAAGGTTTAAAATATAGTGTGTCCTTTGGTCTCTGTTGAAGTCGTTTTAAGGATGACTCATATTCTTCAGCCTTCGTCTACTATTGCGTGAGATAGCTTATGTGGAAGATCAGATTATTCATTGTTCAATGTACAGGAGTAACATTAGTGCTTTTTTTGTTTATTAAATGCACAAAACACATTACAATTAATTAAAACATTAATCATAAATACATCGTTTAGATCTGGATCGTAACGTAACTCATATATGCACAAAGAAAAATAATGAAGATTATACAGAAATTATCTCTGGTCCATAATACTGTAAGTAATATAACAATAAATAACAAAGTAAGTAAGCATATAATGTGATGCAGATCTGAATGTTAATGCAAACCCAACTCACTATGGAGGATGTCTTTCACTAATTTACTATATCTGTTATAGTTATGATCAAAAACTTCTAGTAATTTATTGATTTTTGAGATATCATTATATTGACGCGCCATTCTTGGATGCTAATGGATTATAATAAAAAATGTTATTTTTATATATTTGAAGGGGAAATATATTCGTATCATGGGCACAAAATTTAATATTGAAACTGATTTGAGAAAGTAACTCCGGTGAATCAACAATATAATGTATAATTTTGTAGAGATAAACCAAATCGACATAAGTGCGGGTCTCTAATGGCTGAACGTCATATTTGCTGAGTCTGCTTTCGTAATTTAGATTTGACCGACCATGTTATGTTCTTTTATTAAAGGTAGTTTAACATTTGTTAGGGATTTGGTTTGTTTGTTGAAATATTGCGTTGTGTTAACTATTAAACTTTCTCGTTTCATGATATTTGTTTCACTGCTGTTAACGAAGCTATTAATTCCTCTACGTTAATAATAGGTATATATTGCGTTATTTTTGACCCAGTATTTAAGTATACTCGTATATATTTTTGAATAAAAATACTAGCGACTTTTGTTCCTCACTGTATAATATTCTTGTTAATCCCTCCAATTATTACTATGCTCAACTGCCGATTTGTGCTCCAAATACACATTTACTTTACACAAAAGGAAGAAAATGTCACACGTGAATCGAGAATAAAGGAAAACAATAGGTTTAATAATAAACTACGCTTTGTTTCTAAGATGGCTTACTAGTCTGTGATTTTGTTAATGTAGTATTGTTTAACTTTTATTATTGTTTTTTTTAACTAAAAAGTTTTGTTATAAGAATCACACACAACTAGAAAGATTTTTTCTCTATTTGTTATTTAATGTTAATCAAATAAAAAATAATTTTTGATGGACTCTTAATAACTTACCATCATTCATAATTTAAAAGAAAATTAAATACTAAATTTATATTACGAGTACTATGTATTTTCTGTATTAAGTATAAACAAGTCAAAACACATGTGTATGTATGTACATATGAATCATACACATTAATTAATATTAATCATAAACTACTGCGGAGACATTTTTTGCAGCAGCTACACACTAAATTACTATTTAAATATTTTTCCACACTCGTATACTATTTAGATCAGGATCAATAAACTTATTTTAAATTAAAGAGGTGTTGTAAGAATCAAATGTTAATCAATAAATTTATTTTAAATTAAAGTAGTGTTATAAGAATCTAATTTTCACAAGATTTGAACAGGTAGAATGTTTAAAACGTTGACTATTTAGATCAGGATTAATCAATTTATTTTAAATTATAAAAGGTTTTGTAAGAATCAAATGTTAACAAGTTTTGAACATATCTTGTTGGTCTAGTGGTTGGTGATTGTGTAATCACCAACACTTAATAATAATATACACCTAGGACTAATATTGTTGGTTCTTTTTTTGTCTATGCTATTCGTGTCTTTCGTGTCGCATCACCATACATTGTAACTGTTCTACATTTAAAACATTACTTTTTCCATCACTTCCAACGCGCGAGCATTGCGACACAGTGAAACTGTAAAACCTAGTTATTTTGGACATTGCAAGCCCTGTATCAATCTTGGAAGTATTCATTTAACTACCTTGAAGCCCCAACAAAGTGTTTATCCACAGGATCTACCAATTGGTTCAGGATCAGACGGCTGCGTGAAATGGGTGAGGTAATTATTATTATCTAGGGATACGTAAAATTAAGATCCTCAATAGCTTCGTGATACAAATGCTTAGAGTATCGGATGTTTTAAAGCGGATTATTTAAGGTAGTGGCTGCTTGTACTCATCATCATCATCATCATCAACAGCCTTTAATAGTCCACTGCTGGACATAGGCCTCTCCTTGGAAAGGAGGTTTTGGCCTACTATACCACGCTGGCCAGACGGGTTGGTATAGGGTTTGTGTCAAGTTTTCTCTTCTTTTTTTTGTTTTGTTTTTGCTTGTACTATCAAAATTAAACAGTAAGACTTTGGATTTTAGGTATTAAAACTCGAACTAATAGGTAGCTCTAGGTAGAGAGAGGAAGAGAGAGAGGGAGAGAGATAGTCTAAATTTTAATAACACTTACAATTATCATCTACATTCTTCATGGGATCTCCAGCTGGGAATATGTCTTCAAAGCTGCATACTCTTTTGGGGTACTTGTTGTCTACGGGGTACACATCTGCCTCCTCCCCCATGAGCTCATGGAGGCGGGCCAGTATGAACCCCTCGTTTGGGTCCCGGACCCAAATCAGCTGCTTATCCATCGTCATTGTTTACTGAAAAGAAAGAGAAAAGTACGTTAGGTATTGTTCAAGTGTCTGAAAGTTACTTATTATTATTATTTATTTAAAGTGCGTAATGGTTTGACCATTACAATACACATACCCAGATTACATAGACCTACAAGTGTATTAATGAATTAAGTATGTCAAACTATACGCCGGCACGTAGCTGAAATGCATATGTTAAGATGATGTGTGGTGTGACTAGGATGGACAAGCTGAGGAATAAATAGATTAGAGGAAACCTGGGAATAGCACCAGTGGATGCAAATTGAGAAGCAATAGGTTATCCTAATATGAACATGTGACGCGTAGAGATTAGAAAAAGGTAAAGAAGAAGGTTTTAGGTATGGAAGTTGATAAGACGTAGCAGACGACTAAAGGAAAGATGGATGGACTGCGTGAATGAGGATATGAATAAAAACGGAGTAAGCAGCGATCTGACGAGTGATAGAGGAAAATGGAAGAAGAAAACTCATTGGGCCCACCATAAATGTATTTGAGAAAGGGGTTAGAAGATTATGATTATGAAAACTATAATTTGGTCCAACTCTAGTAAAAGTATTTAATTACATCGGTTTGTTTTTAAGTCATTTACAACTTGCTCATGATTTCTTTTTTAAATATAAAATTGTTATCAGTATCTATTTGCGTAGGTATGTATTTATATATTTTTATACTGTATTTATGTATGTACTTATGTGAAATATTAATATGTATACGTGTAGTTGGCCGTGTGTTTGTTTGTCCTTTCTTCTCATAAGGCTTAACCCCTTGGAAACCGGCGGTTGTAGATCGGCACAGGCATAATAGATTTTCGACAGGTATAATTTTATTCTATTTATATTTCTATACATTTGACAAAATATTGTGTGTGTTGATCTATGACTTTAGAGTTTACAAAAAAGACGATTTCAAACAATTTTAAACAGTTTTATGAAATAAAGATATTTTGAGTATATGACAGGTTTGTGTGTATATTTTATGATTTGGTATGAAGTATACATATGTAAGTTGCTAAGTTTTGGTTATACTGCAACAAAAGAAACTGTAACCAAAATGCACATACTTCCTGTTTTCTCTGCATCACCCAATGATTGACTGGTAGAGAATGCCTTAGGCATTAAGTCCGTCAATACACCAGATGTGCATGATGTGTAAATAAATAAATATTTGTGATGCTCATTTGTAGTCCTGACGCTCAACGGCTAGACCAGTTGTGGCAAACCTAATAGAATCAGTTATATTACATTCAAGTCTAATCACGTCAATTAAGTAGATGTCACTCCGATTACAATTGACAGAACACCTACAACTCATAACTATTCATAAGACCACGTTCCCATAACGTTATTAATTACATAGTAATAATTGTATATCTCTACGGTGTGGCAAGCATGTAGGAAGTATTTACAAACACAAGTAAAACTAATTGTAATAATTACTTGAACATAACGAGAATACCATTAACTCACTTTCGTACCTGTACTGTAACACTTTCATGTGTATGACGTAATAAAAAAAATAAACAATGGTTCATGTGCGTGAGTTGTTCCGGTGCGGTGATCTGTGCCCGGAAGCAAAAAATGTACAGTCTGCCATAAAAAATTGCTAGTGTAACACAAATGGCTGAGATTAACTTTGGCCGATTGTGGACTTATTCCTTTTAGATTTAGTAAAAAGAACAATTAACACTTATGTGGAAATAAACATAATGCTAAAAGACCACGTAGGCTACTTTATTAGGTTGGACAATAAAACTGACTAATAACAATTGCTTTATAAAGCTTAAATAGAAACGAGCTCAATTTTATATTGTATGCTATTATTTTCGTTTCGGTATTCAGACCTTTGAGAATAATTAAATATCTAGGAATTTTTCAAACCGCACGCCGTCTCGGGTACTAATAGCCGGGGAACCAGGTATACCCTAGAAAGGAAGTCCCTGGTGCCCCGACATACCTCGGGCCATCTACAACAAGTAGACGACCCCCCCGTGTGGGAACCCCATGTTCCCTCTGCTCCCTGGAAGCGAGCGCGTTTCGCAACCTGCTCGCCGCCACCCCGGCCTGCTTCTGCTAGGGTGACAGATGGCCTCACCTGTCACCCCCAGGCTTATGGACGACGGAGGTCGTAGCCAGGGGGTGACGAAGCCTTCCTGAGTCGCCTGCTGTGCCTGGCCCGTTCCCGGGCCTGGCGGGCCGGGAGAGTTCTACACCTCTCCCGTCCTGCTCCACCGTCTCCTTCGCGAGCATAACTTGCTCGCAGAAGGAGACCTGGCTATTTGTAATTACCTGGCTATTTGTAATTAACTATTGAATATAATTTTAATTCTTTAATTAATTCATATATATGGGATTAAGCCACGCTGTTACGCGGTCTTCTACAACTATTAAAAAAAATAAAAAAAACATTAATTACATAAATTTCTTGGTGTAGTATTTTTTAAACTAAAGATTTTAGATCAATATATGCAGATAGTTTTTTCGCAGCAATGGGTTGTTTTCTTGAATAATAGATAGAATAGAATATATAGCAAAAAGTTTAAATCGTTATCTGCCTTTTCTACATGTGCAAATTCCCTTGGGGTGTCACCCCATTGCGGTCCATCGGGATCGAAACGACTAAAATCACACGGTGTACCATACTGCAAATGAATTCCGGGAACAGGTTTTATTGAGTCATTCAGACCCCTTATACCGCCTGCCTCAAAGTGCGGAAATCACTTTCGGGTATATTTCCCTTAAGCAAGTCCGCTTGTGCCTGGACGATGCCTCCTCACGACTAATCACTATTTGGTAGAGGGAAAAACCAGTCAATTTCAGCCGCGGTCACACTCAGCAAATTGGTTTGTGTCTGTGTCAATCTATAACCTGTGTATGTTTATAAGAACGCAAGGAATTTAATTTCGCTTAGAAATATATTATGTTAAATAGAATTGAAAGAGAAAAATGTTACTTAGGCATTTGGGATCAGTCTTTGCACAAAAGTATGTATATATAACGCAAAGAGCGCTTATTACGTTGCGCCACGCAGTCTCCTTTAGACCGACAGCGGCGCTGGACCAATAAATAAATAAATAAAAATACCTTCGCAAAATGGGGTCGCCATTAGTAAAAAGATTACGTTAAACGGTCGAGTAATTTTTGTGATTAGTTCAACAAAATAAAATTACGCAAGATTTTATTTACTGGTTTTTTGTCAACGTTTTGACACTGTTTTCAAAGAAACTGAAATGAATTTCGTGAAGAAATTACAGACAGACTTACAATATAAATAAAACGAGCTGAAAGTTTCAACTGCATAACATTTCTCTTAATTTAAGAAGCTTTTGGGTCTAAAAATGTTTCTAATACATGCTTAATCTGTTTTTTTTTATTTATATTGGTTAAATTCAAACCGACCTCTGTTCGAGATGACAGATCCAAAAAGCTGTGTCTGACTTTACGTAAAACAGGAAATGTTTATGATCTGGTAATTAAAAATTATTCTACGTCTTTTATTATTGGAGAGTGGCATTTTGGTATATCTGCGAACTTAATACCAAGGGTATTCTCTTCCAGTCGAACTTTTTCTTTATTGATTTTCCTCTATTTTGAGGTTAGTCAAGAAAAGATGGCCTGAACAGCACTTAAGTAATAGGAATTAGTAATCTTCTGCAGATAGACAGACGTGTTATAATATATATGAGATGTAGGAACTAATTTTAAGCGGAACGGAGGAACATATATGTCTATGTACTACGACAGACCGATATGCATATATCAAACCATTACCATTAACCTTGCAACAGTTCCTCTCTTGCACATACATACATTATTTAATCGATAAACCTTAACCCACATGTCATGAAGAACAACCATTCTAATCGAGAAACGATGTATGGTAAGACTTATGTGCCAGTTGGTGGTCCATTCCTATTGACTTTTCCATTAGTAGTTTGGACATATAAGTAAGCTATTCCAAATGTTTCTACCGTTTACTCATTCAAGTCAAATCTTTCATCTAAGACTTTCAGTAGGTGACACCACGGATGGCGTAGTGGTCTAACCGGTCGCTACGTCACATGTACTGCGCTGAGTAGTGTGGGTTCGATCCCCACATGGGATAACACTGTGCGATCCATAAATTGTTGTTCTGAGTCTGAGTGTTCTTTGTTCCCGTTTTACGTATGTTTGTAAAGTCCTCCGCGACACAGGATTTATTCCTAATGCGGGAAATGTATTAAAAAAGAAAAAGAAATCCATTTTTTAAAATGTCACGTACGTGGTGTTATTTAGTATATGTTTTCACATGATATCTAATTTGATAACGTTCAACTTCTACGGGTTTCTTTAATAAAATTAAGTGCACGTTCTGACAATGACGTCCAAGCGTGCACCGAAAATTATTATGCCTTTAACGGTGGGGCTTTCAGAAAAGGACTGAACTGAAGGCACCTTATACGCTGCTAAATTATGTAACTAATCATCTGTGTAAGACTAATAACTTGTATTTACACCATTAATAGATTCTTTCTTTGTTTAAATTCGCTAAGCTCTGTAACTACCAGTAGAATATATAATAATTTTGTTGGATAGTTCAGTCACTGAGGAAAGTTATAGGTTATGTAAATTAGGCTACGACTCTCAGGAGCGGAGAAGTGGCTATAAATGCATGAAAAACTGCGTGGAACCACTAGTTGTGAAACATCAATATTTTATTTTATATGTGGGAGAAAGTTTGATAAAGTTAATCCATCTTGTCATTCGCTACAAACAATAATAATTATCTGGTAAGCCAATGTTATCCACTGTGACGTATTGTGTCATAATCAAGGTGTAATGACCACAGTGCCTGTTTGTCGTAAGAGTATAACTATTTTGTAAAAAAAGAATGAGGCCGCGTTTGAACATTGCGTTTATATAAAAGTTGCATTCAATGAAATAGACTTGTGTAAAATGGTCGGCCATTTTTATCAACGAGCGACGTAAGTTTAGTACTTTAAT